GGGCTACAACACCTGCTGACCTACATGTGAACCTGGTTATGGGGAGAGCCAGGCTAGGGAAGCCAATTGTATCCATTGGTACAGGCATGAGCCAGAATAAGGGCAAGCAGGTTAGGCTTTGACACAGCATCAGCTGGCAAGTACTAGGACAGAGGGCAGACCCTATCTAGCTAGACCACAGAACCACCTAGAGAGTGCAAGATCAGGGGCAAAGAGTGGGTCCAGTGGAGGGGTTGTGGCCTCCTCTCTGATGGGCTGCAATTCCCACTGGTGAACATGAGAACCAGCACTGGGGCTGGCCTGGCTGGACAGGCGTTGGCACCCGCTGGCATGAGCGTGTGCTGGAGGGTGAAGTTGTTTGGGTTGAGTTAGGCTTTTATGTCCAATGATGTATACAAGACCCCAGTGGGATGTGAGGCAGACCGGACCGGTCCACTGCATATGATGGAAGGCACAGAAACCAGAGCTGAGGGATTCGGTCCAGTGGAGGTTGTTGGGCTGCAGCTCCCCCTGCAGTACGTGAGGATCAAGCATGTGTTGGCCAGGGCTGGGCTGGACCATAGAACTCATTGGTATGCTGAGGATGGATCAACTACCCCAGTGAAGTTTGACAGCAAATTTCTGGGCCAATGGAGACTCAGAGGCAGACTATGACAGCCAATTGACCTCAGAAAGATTCCCTCATCCATGGAGCAGTGATATCAGCTGCATCTCAGAACTATCAAGAACACATGAACAAACCCCCAGAAAACGCTCCACGAAAGGAAACTTGGGTTGACGTCAGGTGGCAGTTCCTCAATCCTCTGGATGATGAAGCCGCTGGGAAGCTTGATGGACTTTATTCAAAATTAGTAAATTATGTATTGCTCTTCTGAAATAACATTTTACCTTATATCCAAAATTTCTTGTACCCCCCTCTCCACTATACATGCGAAGAACAAGAAGAAAATGTATAAACAAGGGTCTCACTACCCCAGATCCTCGACCCTTCCTACCCCGATCAACTAGACAAACATTATTGCCAATAAAATTAACAAAAACAAAAACAGCAGCAACTAAAAAGGAATCCCCTGGGTTGCCCTGTGAGCCCTGCCTTGAGACAGAACTTTGGTTCAGCATATTGTGACAGTCCCAATGTCAGGTCTAGCACCTCTGGAACTCTGGCTCTGGTCCAGGGCCTGGGGAAGTCTTACAGGAGGACTGTGCCCCGCCTACTAGGGTGCTCTTCCCCAGCCAGTCCCAGGGGCAGGGCAGCCTGAGAGGACACCTGCTATATCCGGTCACAGCTCCCCTGAATGCTGGGATGCAGGTTCTGGGCTTCAGTCTGGAGCTCTGCAAGGGAGGGAAGCCAGGTCATTCTCCTCCAGCAATGGGACTGCCGGTCTGCAAAAACGACCAGCGGGCTCACTACAAAACTGCCAAGAACCAATGCCTGAGGATTGGGATCTGCCTTCGATTTCACCTTGAGGCCCACATGGAGTCCACCACATGCACCCCTCACTTGTCTGGGCATGACTCACCCAACTTCTCCTAGGCCCACTCTCTCTCTACGTTGCCATTCTGCCAGCTCAGGCCTCCAAACTGGCCTACAAATCCAATCATCTATGTCCACCTGGAGTGGTTGGATCAACAGACAGCTTGGCCATGCATATTTCAGAAGATCCCCAAGTTCTCCCCCATGAACACCACCTGGGACACTATCTTCACAGAGAGGGAAGCAGGTGCTCCCTACACACCCCCCAGTGCCACTCCAGCCATGCCCAGTGACCACTTGAGTGTAGGGCTGTGAGCTGCTGTATTTCCCTTTGCCGCAAATCTCTCCCTTGTGGGCAATGATGCCAACAGGACAAGGAGAGAGCACCTGCAGTGCTCCGGTCTGTCCCACCATTGTTTGAGGCACCACACACATCAGTGCAGCCATCAGCTTCCATCAGCCACAGGCCCTGATGAGCCTGTATCCAGCAGTCACCTGCCTCCTAACCAGGAAATGTGGTTCTCTGCCACACAAAGTGGCCTCAGGTTCCTCCCCCCACACCACCGGCTCCCCCACCAAGGACACCAGACTTTATTCAAAATTTCACCTTATACTCTAAGCTTTATTTGGTTGGCACATGACCGAGTTCAACAAATTAAATAAGTTAGTCCAGCAAGAAAAAGAGTCAATGGAATAAATAGTAATCGAATGAAGACTGGCTTATCTTCACTCACTGATAGTTTAAAATAGTCACAGTGTCATTAAAACTACAGTACTATGTCATTCTCTCAATCTGGCAAGCTAGGTGTGCAGATTAGGTGCACCTTTCTTGATACTTTACTTCATTTCATCAATTCCAATTGTTCTTCAACAGTTATTGAAGTGACTTAAAAGGCAGATTAACAGATGAAGAATGGCAGAAAGAGACAACTCTGCCATCTGTTGGTTCAATGCCCAAATAGCAACTAAGGCCAGAGATGATCTGAGCTGAAACCAGGAACCAGGAATTTCTTCCATAGTTCCCCTAGGGGTACAGCAGTCCAAGCATTGGGCCACCATCTGCTACTTCCTCAAACATTTATGAGGCAACTGCCTAAGAGAAGGATCAGTAAGGAGCTCTATCAGTGAGTTTTGCTGCCTAACAAACAAACCGTAAACATTGGCTTTTTGACATAAATATTCCTGCTGCAATGGAGAGAGGTGGCTCTGAGGCTCCTCCGACCACAGCTAGGGTGTTCAAGTGCTGTTACAGAGCTTCCAGTGATCCAGGCTGGTGTCCCTGAGAGCAAGCAGGATGATGTGGCTCTGCTTCTGGTCTCTCCCTTTTCCACCAGCAGTCAGGCTTGGACTAGGCACTTGCTCAAGGTCAGAAGCATCACAGAAGTCCAAGGATGAATGCACATGGCCTCCTGAGGTCTAGGCTGGGACTGACACACATCCACTACTGTTTCATTGCATAGGATGAAGCAGGTCATGGGATTGAGCACACAGTCAAGGCTGCAGTCCATGATGGAAGGCACTACGAGGTGACACGGCTACATTCAGAGGTCTGTGCTGAGTCAAAGCCCCGAGGTAGGAACTCCATCCAGATTGGTTGGATAGGTGATAGGGACCCAGGCATTAGTCATCATTCACTGCTTTCTCTGGGGCATGAGTAGGAAGCTGGATGGAGAGCAGAGCAAACAGAACTTGAAGGAGCACACAGATGTGGATGGCTCGCTTTCCAAGCAACAAACCCCCGTGCCTCAGATCTGGTCCACGGCTTCATAAATCTTTGTCATGCTAGTGGATGTCTGCTTTTTCTGTTTGTACCTGGATATCAGGACCAGGGAAAGACAGAAATATGTATCAATTGCATATAATTGAAAACAGCTTTACATCCTGCTCTCTTATTGTCTTTGCTCCAACCAGAACTGGTCCCAGGAATCAGTCCGCTGACTTTAGATAAGCAGCTTTATCCCTGTAAGAACACATCATTCCCCTTTCCCTGAAGCATTTCCAATGAGCTGGTCAGCTCCTGTTCACCATTTCAGCATGACAGAACCATGCCTTGTTGGGAGCAATTTCACTATCCTGAACCATCTCATCAACACTTGGAAACATGTAGCGTCAATCAATCAAAGGTGAAAGACTGCAGGTCAGTGAAAGACTGTAGTAAGTAGGCCAACTGACACATTAACATAATACAAGCAATTTTAGGAAGGAAAACCTCTCTCTGATAAGGCCCACAATGAGTGACAACAGCAGACACAGGTCTACACATATTGGTCTACACATACAGGTACAAGTTCTGGCCAGAAAAGGCATGCTCAGATTCAGTTCACAGGGAGCCTGTGCAGCACACAGACAGAGGGCAGCTGCCACTGCATCCTCCCAGAGCCCCAACACCACATGGAAATCACATGGAACACTTCTTCCCCAACACAAGGAAAACCACCCACATGTATAACACCCTCGCATCAATTCTGAGGACTCGTCAACAGCACTCAAGACTGGGACCCTGATCTCCTGGTGCAAATTCAAGACTGGGCTAAACTCTGCTCAGCAGTCCCTTACCATTTCTGAATGCAGTAAACCACAATAATTATAGCTAAAATCAGCACTGCAACAATAGGTAAAACAATCACGTAGCTATTGTTCTTCACAGGGTCTGTAAAAGAAAGAGAATAATGTTAAGAAGAAGCTACTTGCAAAGCCCAAAACATGACACAACCACTGCCAGGTCCAACGTGGTTTCTGTTCCCTTTCCCCTACCAGGTGAACAGCTATTCCATTCCTATCACATGCAACTTGACATGTCAGTGTGTTCAACCCTTGTCAGAAATGCACAGCAAGATGCAACACCACATACACAGGCCACACAGAGCTTCAAAGCTTCTACAGTATGCTTGCAAGGGAAAAAAGCTCAACTGCGGTGGAGGTGGTGGTATGCACAGTGAGAATCAGCATGAAGGCGGGGAGGGCGCATTTTGGGGAGGGGAGGGGGGAATCCCAGTGCCTGTAAAACTGTGTCGCATGATGCAATGTAATCAATTAAAACAAAACAAAAAGTAAAATAAAGATGTTTGCAGGCAAAATTAAAAAAAAAAAAGCTTCTACAGCCAGTGTCAGCACACATGCTTAGTCATGCAGACATGCACACATAGGACATTCCCACTCCATGTGCCTCCCCCACACACTGCATGCACTTCCTTGCAACAAGCCACCACAAATACCCGTATGCCCAAGAGCAATTCCTTCTTCCCTCTGGGAACATCCAAGATCTCATTCTGGCACACCCAGACCGCCTACCCCTGGAACTCTGCCTTCCTTACTCCCCTGGAACCAAGAAGATGCATTTCACTGGCAGAGTCATTCCCAACAACTCCACAGTCATGACCAGGGCAATCATGATGAGTTCAATGACTACCTTCCCATTACCAACAACAGCTGGAGGGATTCTGCAGAAGCTGAGCTGTGTTGCACTAAAGATCTGACCTGCCTGGCACAGGCTCAGGACAGAACATAGGACTACTACTTGGCTTCTACCAGGAAACCGTTTACAATAGATCTAGTCCTGCTGGGAGGGATGTGGCAAGGCTGCTTCTTGACCCGTGCCCACCCCTTCTCTTCAGGGCATTTGGATACAATCCTGTCCCTATCCCCATAGAGGCACGCAAGCTTACCACCCCATACCACAAAGACCATTGAGAACCAATTTCCAGGAGACACAAGCTGATGAGTAGCCCATTTTCACTGGACCACTCTCTCTCTACTCGAGCTGACCATACCTTCTGCCTTTGGGGAGAGGGACTTAGTCTCGGCTGCTGACTCTGGTTTAGCTGGGTCTTGTCCCAGCTTGCTCCCTCTTCACCATGTTTTACCTCTTTCTCCTTCAATTCCCAGTGCAGCGCCTGGCATGCCTGTGAGCCTAAGCTGTAAGTTGCACTGCCTCAAATCGTGGAGTAGGGAACATGTCCAGAAAGAGGCTTACCTGTCACACTCAGTGTGAGGTTGAGTCTCTGGGTGCTGTGTAGGGAAATGTGGCTCACCACACACTGGTACACGGCCCCAGCATCTTCCAGAGGAGACTTCAGTGTCACATAGCTAGTGACATTAAAGGTCCCATCCTCATTCTGGACATGATGACCAGTGAAGATGCCTTCAGATATCGGCAGAGGCTGGGCCGCTTTCTGGGGACCATTCTTCCATGTTATGTTCACAGAGTCTGGGTAGAAACCACTGCACTTGCACACAATGCGTGTGTATTGCTTTGAGTTCTCCAGGACCTGGTCCTGAAATATTTTGCTGGTTGGAGTAGCTGCCAGAGAGAAGATACACACTGAGTTGGAATGAGACTTCAACTCTTCCTGCCCTCACTCACTGACTCCTACCACACACACACATCTGCACCTCACTGCTTCTGTAGGAAGACAAAACCCAGTACCTGATAGCCACACTCACTGTACAGATGGACACTGGGGCACAGGTACTTCTGCAGCCATGCCCAGCTTACCTGACTGAGAAACACCTACTAGCCACAGCAGACTCTAGGGAAGGGAGGACAAGCTTATTACCCACCTGATATCTGACACAGAGGAACACCTCAGGAAGAACAAGTGAACAGAATCAGACTCTGCTTTGACTAAATGTCAAGGCCAGTGCCAGCAGCATGCCACCATGCTAGAGCCCAATGCTCACAGTATGAGTGCAGCTGAGTCTCCTCACACATCTTGCTTCCTACACATCTGGGAGAATCTGCAGAAAGTCTTAGAGCACTGTTGTGGGACACAATGCTCATTGATTCCTAATTTCTGTTACATAGTTTCAGTTAGAAACAACACATCCAGATGAAGCCTATATCATCTGAATGCATGGAAGGTTGGTCTGGCCATGTGAACTGAGGGTCTGGTCATTCCAGATTCACTGAAATGTGGTGAGAGCAACTCCCAGGAAGCACACATCCATCAAAGTGTGTCCTGAGGATGGCAAGTGTGCCCTGCCCTTGCAGAATGGCTGGACTCCCCTGTGGTGGCTGGGAATACAAAGGCCATGTACCATGATCAGATGGCAGCTCCATTTAGAGATGGCAGAATCACTGTTTGGCAAGAGCAATCCATCCATATGACAAAAACAAAACAAAACAAAGAACAATGTGCGGCATCAGAGAAATTCCTCAAGCTGATAAAGAACTTTTACCTAAAATCTATGGCCAACATCCTGAGGAAGAAAGTAAAAAATTTCAGGAGCAGGCAGGATGCTCCCTCTACACTCTATTCCTAGTACATTGCAATGAACTCCAGACCAGTAAAATAGGATAGGAACATAAAAGTACACAGACTTGAAAACATGATGAAACTATATTCGTTCATAGATAATGTGATTTATAGATAACAATCACAAAGATTCAACCAACAAAAACAAACAAACAAGCAAAAGGCTTTGAGAACTAGTAAGGATAGCAGCAGCCTCAAGGTAAGAAGCCCATGTACAAAAATCAATTACTTGTCTACAGAACAGTAGTGATCAACTGAACTTGGAGATTAAAATAATGACGTACATTCCTGTACACATGCCCAAAGGGGACATTCGGTCTCCTGGTTCAGCTGCAGGTTAGAATGCCTGTGCCCCACACCACGGTACTCAGGCTCAGTCTCTGCACCAACCCCTGATTTCAGTTATCTGCTTTTGCAGACTCTAGGGGGCAGTGGTGATGGTTCAAGGGCAGGGTCCATTCAACCCAATAGGGTTGAGGACTGAGTCAGCTCCCAGCTGCCCTACTGCCTGCATCACACAATTCAAAGTCAACTAGTAAGATATCATTCTCTCTATTTTTCTCTCTGCCTCACAAATAAATGAATGAAAATTTAAACACACATGCAAATAAAAATATAGAGAGAAATATATAGACACACATATAGCCTTTAGGCTTACACACATACACACGCGCGCTGCATATATATATTAGACACACCCAGACTCTATAAGAGAAACACACCATAGTCTGCTAAGGAAGACACAGAGAGAAGAAGGCCAGAGGAAAGAGGACTCAAAAGAACCAACAATACGGACACCTTGCCTCAGATACAGCCTTCAAATGGGAGGAAACCACCTGTGCTCTTCAAGCCAACTGGTCCTCGTTCAACTCACGCTGCCCCAGCCACTTACCACTAAGTGCAGCCAGGGAGCATCAGCTCTGTTGTCCAAATGCAGGGCTCTTAACTTTCACATATGAGAGAAACAAGCAGCATGTCTGAGTGGATGGCTATTTTACTTACCATCACTTCCGAGTCTCTCCATTTTAATGCTTATGAAAATATTCCATTCTACATGTCTAAAGATTTATGTATATATGCATATGAAAGGCAAAGTAACAGAAGAGAGAGAATGCATGCTCCCATACATTGCTAAGTCCCCAGATAAACACACAAACCAGGACTAAGCCAGGCTGAAGCTGCAAGCCAGGACCTCCATCCTGGGTCTCTCACATGGATGGCAGGAGCCCCAGCACTCAGGCCTACTGGGCTGCTTTCCCAGGAACAAGAGCAGGGAACTACTTTGGGAGAGGTGCAGCTGCACTAAACCAGCAACCTTAAGGGATGCCAGGGGCACAACACACCATGACACAACACGGACCCCACATGCAGCCATCTTAACTGCTAGGCCCAACCCTGACCTCCTATTTCAGTTGATCTGAAGACGTTTCCTACTGTTCCCCACAAGGGCTCAAACACTTTTCATGTCACTGTCTGCAAGAGTTTCCTTTTCTCCCCATCTCACCAGCATCTATTCACCAGACTGCTGGGTAACACACCACACTGGAGCTCAAGATGGAATTTGGGGATGTGTCTGTCCTGTCAGGCTTCATCATACCTCACTCCACTGCACATCTTGCATAACATCTTCCTAAGAATCCCTTTTTGGAAATGGGAAATCCAGGTGCAAGGATGCTAAATGTTTATCTCACTCACTTAGAAGCACAAAAATTGAAGGGGACCACAGTCTAGCAACCCTCTCTTTCCCAGCTGCCTCCCCAAGGAACCTGCTCAGATAAAATGACAACCCACACCCAGTGGGAATAATGCAATAACCACTATTGCTGTCTTCCACTCACTATGTGTCATAGACAGGGGCACATCCAACATTTCACCTGCATCTTCCCAACATGCCATCTCTCCCCACTCCTCCTGGGCAGATGCCATCACATTTGTTTCTAGCAAGGGCACCGAGATTCAGAGGCTTCACACCTTGCCCAGAGTCATCTCACCACCCACCAAAGCCCAGCTCTCTAGCCCACGGTGGGTCCCCAGACCAGCCTCTAACATCCATCCCACTCTGCACCTGCAGCCCACGGGATCCCGGGCATTGCCCTCAGGCACTCACCCACAACTTCCAGCTGCACACTTTTCTCATCCATCTCAGGGGTGACCACCACCTTACAGAAGTACTCTCCAGCATCACTGAGCTGAATGGCTGGCAGGTGCAGTGAGGCCTCTCCCCTCATCAGCTTCTCCGGAGAGATGTTGGCTCCAGTTCGGTATGCCTTCTCGTGATCTCCATAATACTCAAACAGAGGAACTTTCTCCTCCGATCCTTTTTTCCTCACAAACCAGACAACACCCACAGTGCTGATGTCCAGAGCGGGAGAACCAGGGATCTTGCAGGTGATGGTGATGTTGTCGTTGAGAAACACGGTCTGAGTCCTCCCTGCCATCTCCACCCGAAATCCTGTGGAAACAGGAGAACTCAGTTACACAGAGACCCTTGACACAAACACGCCTGCAACTCCAAGCAGAACCACATAACTACAAATGCACAACTTCATGAAGTGGACAGGGAATGATTCAGGACACAGGTTCTTTGTCCATGGCCCTGTTACAGCTCCAATGTGGAGAACTTCAAATCCAGGCCCATACAACCTATTGGTTCCTGGATCTTTAGCTGCACGCTGTGAAGCATGAGGCCGATGAACACAGCGAGAGGGCAGTTTCTAGCACAGACGTATATGAGGAAGAGCAGAGGATGATGGGCCAAAGGGAAAGCTCACAGGACAGCAGCCAGGCAGGGCTCCTTCAGCAGGAACAGCCCCTCAGAGCAGGGAGCCTGGAGGGTGAGGTGGGCGTGGTTGGTGGCTATGTCTCATGAGAAGTTTTAACAAGGGAATTTGAAAACAGTGTTTGGGGGTGGGTCTCAGGACGGGGCGTCTCATGCCTGGATCCCAGACAGCCGCCATGTGCGTACGGTGAGCTGTTCCTGGGCCTGCCGGGTTCCAGAGGCTGTTTCCTTCAGGGTGAGTAGACCGAGGGGGGAGGCCTCCGGGACTGGGCAGGTCCGGGACCCACCCGCCGCCTTCATGGGGTGGTGAATGGGATTTGGGAGGGGCGCGACCTTGGGCCTGGGTTATTTAAACCTCCAGCAGCCTCCCGGCAGCTGGTGGGTCTCAGGACGGGGCATCTCATGCCTGGGTCCCAGACAGCCACCATGTGCACATGGTGAGCCGTTCCCCGTGCGGCTAGTGCGCCATTTGGTGCCAGGTTCCGCCTGCTGGCCGCCCAGCCAGGGAGCTCTGGGGATTTGGTTCTTTGAGTCGCTGCTTAATTAGCTCCAGGTTGAAGCCGTTGTGCTTCTTGGACCTGAAACAGGCAGTAACTCTTCCTTTGTAAAACTTGTAATCACTAATAATGCCAACCACCAAATACCAGTCCATGTAGAAGCTATGGCTTGGGGCCTGTCCTGCAAAAGTAGCTCCAACAGCTGGCTAATGTGTCAACTGGTAATGCAACAGAGTAGATCAGGCACGACTGAGCAAACCTTAGCCCACAAGTAAAACTAGAAACCAGGAGGGAGCAGAGGTCATGCCGAGCTAGGCTCTTGTACCTACTGGTCTGCGGGAGCCAGGAACGCTAAGCCACAGTGTCTATGGCAGCGTTCGGGACAGGGGAAGGGCTGTGCCAAGCTGAGTCAGAGCATCCATTGGCAGGCAAGTGACCTATGGCTGGGAACAGACCCGGTTGGGGAGCAAAGGGGACATCCCTAGCTGGGCTGAGGTTCCCACCAAGAGGCGCGTGGCCTGGAAGGGGGGCTGCGTTCTGATCTGGAAACAGTTGTAGTCTCCCTTGGCACAACTGTGGACTGGGATTGGATGCACCGAACCGGGCCGGACCCCAACACCCCCTGGTGTCCTGGAGGACCAGGGCAGATGTGCGATGGACTAGGCAAGGTCTCAAACCCCTACTGAGCCATGTGTGAGCCATACGTGGGTATGGACAAACCATGGCTGGGCTGGAACATCCAACAGCAAGAACCAGATTGGGTGGAAGGCCAGTCAGGAAAAGCCACAGTTCCTGCTATGACAGGAGGTGGACTGAGTAGGGTTGGCTCATGGACCCACTGGTAAGCGTGAAACCTGGCATTGGGAGAGGTTCTGATGGAGGAGCCTGGGCAACTCCTCTGGCAGGACACAGACCCAGCAGGTAAACGCAAGAAACATGATAGGAAACAGCCCAGAAAAGGCCATGGAAAACTACCCACTGGCATACAATTGGCAGACGTGGGGGCAAGACCAGGCTGAATCTGTCCACATCATCCACTGGCAAATCCAGGCACCAGTGTGGGTCGACCCAGGGTCGGTCACAACAAAGACTAGTGCACATTATGGAATGCGAAGGTGAGGTTGCCTGTACCAGAAGGGACCGCAGCGCCCAACCAGCCTGAGAACAAGAAAGGAAGTGGGCAGAGCCGGCAGGGGAATAAGGGAGGGTTCCTTTGCTGGACAGCTACTTCCGCAAGAGAGCATAGGCTGGGATGGGGGCAGACCAGACTAGGCAGAGCTACCACACCTGCATGCCTCATGTGGACTAGATCAGGGAAAAGCCGGGCTGGGCAGATTATTCCTACTGGTGCAAACAAAATTAAAGTGGGCGAGGGTTGTTTGGCCTTAGACGCAGCATCAACTGGAATCTGGGAGTGGGAGAGGCCTGGGAGGGAAATAGTGGGCTCATCCCTCTTGGGTTACCACTTCCACAGGAGGACATAAAACTAAGATAGCGGCTGGGGTGGAATGGGGTGTGGGACAGACTGGACTACTGCTACACTTACTGGCAAACCAGGGTAGGGGGTGGGCCTGGTGGGGGTTATTGCGGGTCGCTCCAACTAGGCTGCAGCTCCCACTGGTTTATGTGAGGGCCACGTATGTGCAGGGCAGAACCAGGCTGGACTGCAACACCCATTGGTTCCAGTGGAAGTCGGGAGTGAAAACAGAACCAACCCAGCAACTGCAACCACCAGCTGATTGGAGCGATGGACGGTGCCAGGCCCTGTACTTGCTAGCACATACAAGAAGTTTCTTTGGAGATCTTCCTAATCTAAATGCTGGACTCAGAACCCTAACCAAGAAAAGAGAGAAGACAGAACAGGTCAACCAACCATCTCAGCTATGATGGACTATGTCAATCAGTGGATTTTTCAAAGACCTCATAGTGCTTGCAGTGGCAACACTGACAGCAATTCATAACTGTTGAAATATCAAAACCACTTGAGCAAGAACCTCAGAGCATGCCCTACATCCGGTACCTGGAGAGGGTGGGAAAACGGGTGGGCCTTCTCCCTTAAATACCCCCCTTTAAACATGAAGGTAACAATATGGAAAACATACTAGTCTTATCCACTTTCCTGTAGCCCTTGAACCTGCTTACCCTAATTAACTATGTAAAAAATGTCAAAATAAAAATCAAAAAAAAAAAAAGGGAAGAAAACAGTGTTTGGGGTTGTGGGGTGAACACATGCTGCATTCTTGGCCTCCTCTGCTCCACTGGGTGCAATTATTATGAAAATGAGAAGCTCTATCACGTGTGTGTGTGTGTGTGTGTGTGTGTGTGTGTGTGTGTGTGTGTGTGTGTGTAGGGTGAAGAGATGATATCTATCTTAAACATACTCCCAGGAGTGGGCACAGACAACTCCAGCCACCTGGTCTCTCTGCGGCCTTGCAACACAGCCTGCTTCTCCTCTGAGGAATCAACACGTTTTGGCTTTTATTGCTTTTTGAGCAGTAAGCATGCTCGCCAGCAAAGGTTAATGAAAAGATTATCTACACCTGACAACCTTGTAGGTCTCTCAATAAAGAACTCAATGCAATGCTCTCTGTCTCTTTCCTTACCACTCTTGCTTTCTAGCTCAGCACAACTTCTCAGCTGGGCTAAGCAAGTGCTGTGCATCACAGGAGGGCCCACTTGTTCTCTCTGCCTTCTGGCCATTCCTGCTCTGACACCTTCAGCCCCTCCCTAACACACAGGAAAGCCTCTGCAGCTTTGTCCTTCTCTTGCAAGGTGGTCTGCTTGGCTTTCACTCTGATTTCCTTGAGTTCTGGAAGCAGCCCAGCAATTTCTCTAAAGAAGGCAGCTGAGGACCTGGCAGCTAAAGTCCTTGCCTTGAATGCCCCAGGATCCCATATTGGTGTCGGCTCTAATCCCAGCAGCTCCACTTCCCCTCTAGCTTCCTGCTTGTGGCCTGAGAAAGCAGTCGAGGACAGCCTAAAGCCTTGGGACCCTACACCTGTTTGGGATACCCGGAAGAAGTTTCTGGATCCTGGCTTCGGATCGGCATAGTATCGGCCGTTGTGCTCACTTGGGGAGTGAATCATCGGACAGAAGATCTTCCTCTCTGTCTCTTCTTCTCTCTGTATAACTGACTTTCCAATAAATAAATAAATCTTAAAAAAAAAAAAAAGAAGGCAGCTGGGATTCTCTTTCTATTACAGAAAATGTAAAACACAAACAACATTACTTTCATTTTATCTTGTTTTAGACAGCTTGTATTTTTCAAAACACATTGATTCCCTCTCCAAAAGGAATTGGGACAATCTAGGCAGCACTACCCTGTCATGGAATAGCAGCCCAATCTCGTGAGATACACATGATAGTTTGTATTCAACATAACTTGTACTTATGCTGCTATAAACCTTGAGGCCCTAGCGCATTGTGCCACTCATTGTAGCCAGGTCAGGCTGCACCAGAATGTCACAGAGCCAATATCCATATGCGATTATTTCTCATATTGCAAAAGTGATGAATTCCAACACTTTTGTACACTTTAGTTTCCGTACACATGTGGTCTTATCCATCACAGCCAATACCCTAACACAGGACAGACTAAGGCTAAAACATGCCCAACAAACCCCCTCATGTAGATTTGTTAAACCTGTGAGGAAAATCATTTGGTGAAGACACAGAAGGAATTAAAAGCAAATTTTTTTCTGTCATTTGTTTTATTTTTTATTGGAAAGCCATCCATACTGAGAAAAAGAGAAACAGTGAGAAAGCTCTTCCATGTGCTAGGTCATTCCGTAAGTGCTCACAACAGCTGAGCCAATCTGAAGGCAGAAACCAAGAATCTCCTTTGGGTCACCCATGCAGGTGCACAGTCCTAAGCTCTTGGGCCATCCTCTCCTGTTTTTCCCAGGCCACACTAGGGAGCCAGATGGGAAGTGAATCAGTCGAGACATGAACCATTTACCATGTGGGAAACAGGCAAATGCTAGGTGAAGATTTAGCCAATGGGCTATCATGCTGGGACCAAAACCAAATTTTAATAGTAACTTTTTCCTTTTGATTTGTTTTCTGCCTTCACATTCAATACCCAGTGTCTGGCTTTTGATGTCAGAACTTCTCTACATAGATTCATCCCAACATAAGGACATGATAAGCAGCCCACACATCCCACATGGCAGTATACCAGTGCTGGCACACACAGTTTCATGGGAGCATAGATAAAAGTGTTCAGCAGCACCAAGTGCCAAACCAGTGTCAGGGTACCACAGGTGCTCTGAAAAAGCCACAACACCCCATGAAAGCCAAGGTGCATCACTGGTACACAGTTCTTGCCAAGTGAACCCACTCTCAAACCATCCTGGGGATGCTATCTCAGCTGGCATAAGAAAATGAAGGGTTAATATGGAAAAGTTGTCAGACCTGTGCTACTTCATCTTGAATGGAAACCCTCTGCTTTGGTGCTGAGTTATCATGCTAAACTTATCATGCAACATCAAGTACACATTGTGGACAGGTGTTTGTAAAATTATTCAACATTGTACAACATTTCAAAACAGCAAAGTAGCAACGAGTACCTTTCTCTACAAAGCAAATTTAAAACATTAAGTCAACAAACTCTCCTGCAAATGTATCTTTATCAGTTGTTACGGGATAGAGTTTTTTAATATACAACAATTATATCCATAATATATTTAAGGGAAAACAGTAACATAAATTCCTACAGAATATCTTTCACAATATTTTTATTTTTTCTGGGTATCTATGATTTCCAGATCAGGCAAAAGCACATTTCTGTGCAAGCCATCCAATCTGTGCCATCTCTTATGCTGACTTCATCAGTCTAAGATGGGCAGGCAATTCCATTTCATTTTCTAGGACATTCTAAAATTTCTGCTGACAGTGCCTTCCCAATTTCTGGATGCAAGCAAGCATCTCTGAAGAAAAGGGGGCTACATTGTGAGAACTGGTTGTGGTGCATTTAATCACCTGGGCAACAACATGGAGCACACTTGCACAGACCTACCCGGTCTAAGACAGCCGCCCAATGTGGCTCTTGCTGTTCTCAAGAGTCTGTGTTAAACATGAGATGCATGACTGTGGCATACAAAGCTGCAGAAAACACTTTTGGAAAACAATCAGAGACCAGCGCTGTGGCCTAACAGATAAACCCAAACAGACACCAGTTCATGTCCTGGCTGCTCCAAACCTGGTTCAGCTCCCTGTGGATGTGCCTGTGAAAGCAGCAGAAAATGACCCCTGTGTTTGAACCAGGCACCCACATGGAACTCGTAAATGAAACCACAAGCTCCTGGCTTCACACTGGCCTAGCTCTGGCCATTGTGGCTTTTGTGGACTGAACCAGTGGATGGGAGACCTCTCTGTTTCTCCCTCTCTAAGCAACTCTACTTTCAAATCAGAAATCTCAAAAAGAAACAAAAAGCAAAGATCACATTCCATCTTTAACAACTAAACAGACATTTTGAATAACATATCCTTGTCACGGATGGACAACATTTATCAAACATGGAAGGGAATGATCTCACTCCCCATTCCAAAGAGGACAGTCAGATATCAACAGTTAGAGAAATGAAGTCAGAAGCACAATTAAAGCAAACTCCATATGTTCTTGTCTTACAAGATTAATATTATTTATTTATTTACTGAAAGTAGAGTTCTGGGCCCCAACATGATAGTGTAAAGGCTAAAGTCCTCATCTTGAGTGCACTGGGATCCCATTTGGCTGCCAGTTCTAACCCCGACAGCCTGCTTCCATCCAGCTCCCTCCTGAGGCCTGGGAGAGCAGTCGGGAGAGCCCAAAGCTTTGGGACCCTGCACCCACGTGGGAGACCCAAAAGAGCTCCTAGTCCTGGCTTTGGATTAGCTCAGCTCCAGCTGTTGTGGCCACTTGGAGAGTGAACTATCAAATGGAAAATCTTCCTCTCTGTCTCTCCTCCTCTCTGTATATCTGCCTTTCCAATAAAAATAAATATTTAAAAAAAATAAAAAGAAAGTAGAGATCCACACAGAGAAGGACAGAGACAAAGAGAGGTCTTCCATCAGCTGGTTCACTGTGCACACAGCCCCCCTGGGCCAGACTTGAGTCAAGAAGAAGCCAGCAGCTTTGGCCATAGCCATGGATGAGATTCAGCGCCGAACGCCAACAGGAGCCTCAACTCATCTCCCATTGCCTGTGTGGAAAGGTGAGCCCCAGGCCCCGACAGGCTCAAAACACAAATGACAAGCAGGAGCAAAAAGAAAACCAAAGAGTCTTCCAGCCTCCGCATGGGGGCTGTGGGATTTGGTTTCTATGATTACTGCTTAGAAAGCTCCATGATGAACCTTCAGGCCTTGGGTACATGAATCAACCCTAAAGACTCCTGATGATGTAAATCTCCCCCGATGGACCTCTACCTAATTTGGTCTCAACCCATGTGTTTTTAAAATTGTATAACCGGGCCCGGTGCGGTGGCGCAAGTGGTTAAGGTCCTCGCCTTGCACGCCCGGGATCCCATATGGGCGCCAGTTCTATCCTGGCGGCCCTGCTTCCCTTCCAGCTCCCTGCCTGTGGCCCGGGAAAGCAGTCGAGGATGGCCCAAGGCTTTGGGAACCTGCACCCGCGTGAGAGACCCGGAAGAGGCTCCTGGCTTCGGATTGGCATAGCATCGGCCGTTGCGCTCACTTGGGGAGTGAATCATCGGAGGGAAGATCTTCCTCTCTGTCTCTCCTCTCTGTATATCCGCCTTTCCAATAAAAATAATAATAATAATAAAATAAATCTTTTTAAAAAATTGTATAACCAAATATATTTTCAAAACCTTTTACTACTCAGAAATTGGGCAGGAGAGCAAAGAAACCTTCCATCTCCTGTGAACGTGTGAGGAAGCCGTGTAGTGTAACCTCTCAGGCACATAAGAGGTAACTTGTAGACAATAGATTCAAGACAACATTAGACAACAGTAAAACTACAAAGACATACAGGGGGAATCAAGAGCAACCCTGACAACCTATTGGCAGGAGGTCATGTGCACAGAGCAGTGGGGGACCACAGAGTAGAGCAGGTGGACAGGAGGAGGCTTGTGTCCCAAACCTGGAGTCTCCCGGATCCCCACCAAGGGCTATCATTATGGGTGCCAAGGACCACATCCCAACTGCCAAAGAGACCACGGGGGATTGGAATGCCTTCGGAGGCCGAGAACTCAGAGAATATCCTCCCCTGCCCGCCTTTGGACCTACCACACGGGATGGAAGAAGCTGAATCCTTCATCATAGGATCCAAGGCCATCGGAACAACAACCAGGAAATCTGAGCGGTCTTCAGAAACAGAACAGTGGACTCCCATTGGGACTAGGGAGAGAAACTATCTCTGGTTCTTACTTGGCTCCAACTTCGGGTCCCCACCCTCTCATGGTCATGAGGGACGCTCCAGAGCACCCCCCCAACACACACACACACACACACACACACACACACACACACACTCACAAATTGGAATGGATAGGCAGAGAACAACAAGGAAGTCTTGGTCAGCATGGACTCACACACACCTTACTAGGTAGGACACGGGGATTAAGTACTCCTCACCAAGGTATGGAAGATTTCTCTGCACACCCTTCCTAACACTGTTTCGCACCTCAATTGTTGAAATGTCATTGAAATAGTCATAGGAAGTTGTTAAGACCATGCACCCAATTTTGACAAATTGGTTGCTCAATACTTTGTCAATTCATCCCTTAACGTTATATATTGTTGCTGATGTTATGTTGGGGCTTTTAATTGACCGAGATTCTACTCTGTTGGCTCTGCCTTTGGAACGGGGAGGGTCTCCCCAAGAAGCCGCTGAACTTGACCGGACAATGAGATGCTGGACTCTGCTTGGTGTATGCTTGCAATGAAGGAATCTCAACTAAACCTGAACTGTGGTTGCGCAACGGGGGTGAGGAGCCCACCACGGGGGGAGGGTTGGGAGGAATCCCAGTGCCTATATAGAACTGTGTCACATAATACAATAAATATTAAAAAAAAAAAAAAGAAGAAGAAGAAGCCAGCAGCCAGCAGCTTTCAGGGTCTCCCATGTGGGTGCAGGGGCCCAAGGCTTTGGGCCATCCTCTGCTGCTTTCCCAGGCCTTACCCAGGCGGGACATGAACCAGGCCCAAGCCTGCCACAGCACCACACTGTCCCTACACAGTTTTCTTACAGAGCTTCCCTCCACCCCAGGGTCGATTCTCCCCTTAACTGAGGAATTGGCCTCCACTTTCTGGCCTGTAGGCTTAAATGCCTGCTACAGATGGGGGTCCTTCGGGTTCCTCGGCGTTGTTGTGTTTTTGTTTGTTTGCTTGTTTGCAAGGATTCTTTATGGTTTTGTCTCTCCTATTGTGGCATGAGTTCTGTGCTCTTTTAGAGGTTTATCTCTTACAGAATTCTTCCCTGAAGCTTTTGTTCCCTCCTCCTCTTCCTCGTGGTTATGGTCTTCCTCACCATGAGCAGCACCAAATTTCACTTTCCTCTGTCCTATCCTGCTCCCACATTGGGGCCCAAGGCTTGGCACACCCCTGCTCAGATGGTCTCCATTCTCGGCTTGGCCTCTGCTCAGATCAGGACTAAAGCGCCCTGGTCCTGACAAGCACTTCATTCCAACCACCGGAGGCGCTGTTGCCCAAGTTTACTGCATTTCCTCCGTGTTTAAGGCACTTTCTGAGCAAGTCATTCATCGCCTCCTCTTCATCCTGAGTGCCCACCGGGGCCATAATTCACCAGCCCCGGGTCCCACTCGCCTCCTTGTCCACAATACCGCAATCATCTGTCCGTCTAATGCGCGACCACGATCAGAAAGTTCTGGAGCCCATGGACCGCTCGTGGGCGCCTTAAAGAAGATGATCCCTACAGATAAACTCTTCCAGGCAGTCCCGCACTCCCCGTGTGGAGAAGTGCCGCTCTGAATACAGTAGGCCTTCGGGACATCCACCTGTTGATCCACGCTAATCCCCTCGTTCGCCGGCGACCTGTGCCCCACACTGCACCCCGCCCGCACCCGCCCGCACCCGTCCCGCACCCGCACCCGCCCCGCACCCGCCCGCACCCGGCCTCCCACCGTTCCCTCCGTGCGCACCGCCCTACCTGCGGCTTGCAGTGCACCCCACAGCACCGGGAAAAGACACCAGAACCGCCAGGGCGACAAGCCCCCACTCCTCCTGGCCATTTCGGTTTTCCTCAAGTTCATTTCCGATGCGTGGAGTGGCGATGAGGGGATCTTGTAGCTGAGGGAAGGAGCGAAGCAATGCGGCGTTCTAGAAGCTGGCAAGTGGCTGGAGCAGCACCCCTCTGGGTGGGCGGGGCTACTCGGCTCAAGGCTGACGGGGGGGGGGGGCCACAAGTAGGTGGCATAATCAGCTGCTCAGGAAGTGTGACGTCACAGGGCTGGCTTAGTTAAAAAGAGTTAGTTTGGGGCCCCGCGGCGTGGCCTAGCGGGTGAAGTCCTCGCCTTGAACTCGCCGGGATTCCAAACGGGCGCCGCTTGTCCTCCAGGCAGCTCCACTTCCGATCAAGCTCCCTCCTTTTGGCACCAGAGTGGGAGACCTGGAAGAAGTTCTTGGGTCCTGGCTTCTGACTGGCTCAGCACTGGCCTTGCACTCACTTGGGGAGTGAATCATCGGAGGGAAGATCTTCCTCTCTGTCCCTCCTCTTCTCTGTATATCTGACTTTCTAATAAATAAATTAAATAAATCTTTTTAAAAAAGCAGTTCCTGCACTCTGTGTAAAAGACAAAACCAGAACTGAATTGCTCTCTCTGCTGATTTTGCTGCTGTAGGTGTCACCAAATCATTGGGAACCCCCTCAGAGCAGGGGGTTGAGATGCAAGGTGTGGTGAGACCACCACTAACTGTGGGAGCAGTTGGAGGAGAACACCAGCCTCTCCTGAGTGGTTTGAAGACCCTGAAGGCTCCTCAGAAGTCAGAGAGAGTGGCCCCGGTTGGGTCACCTACAGCTAAGCAGCAGTGCTGGCCTGTTGTGTAAGGGCCAGGTCTGTGGCAGGCTGGGCTTGGCTGGATAGACCACAACACCAGGAGGTTTGCATTGGACATGGGGCTTGGGATGGAAGTGACCAGACAGCTACAATTACCAGTGTGAGCATGAGCTGATGCATGTGACCAACTGAACCGCACCCTGGATGGCTGGCACATGCAAGATTCAGTCATTCTACAGGAGGTTTCTTGGTACTTGGAGGACTAACTAGTTAACTAGACCATTGCACTCAACACTCCCACCACAGGGAGGATCATAGCATCTGTGGTCCCACCTTGGTGTGCGTGTGCTGCTGGGACTGGGCCTCCAGGATGGCTCATACCTGTGCAGTGGACAGCATGCCCAGGTGCATGTGGGCAACAAGATGGCCAGCTCATTTGATCCTGACAAGCAAGGGATCCAGACATGAGTCCCACCTGCCCTGAGAATAACTTATTCTTGTCACCTGTCACATGCCTTTTCATCCACAAACATCACAATATTAGTAATTCTTCCAGATTCTCCATTTATTAGCACTGAAAATAAATTCATTCAAGTAATAACTCAAATGACGCTTCCCAACAAATATTGCACTGGGGTGATTTATATAAATATATTCATATAACCAACTCAAATGACATAGTGGCAGAAAGTCTGCCTTGCTGCTTCTCTCTCAAATGAAAACTCGATTTTGTAAAGATTTCATTTCTATTGAAAAGGCAGATTTACAGAGAAAAGGACAGACAGACAGACAGGAAGATCTTCATCTGCTGTTTAACTCTCCAACCTGTCACAATGGCCCGAGCTGAGCCAATCCAAAACCTGAAGTCAGGAGCTTCTTCCAGTTCTCCCATACAGGGTGCAGGATTCCAAGGCTTTGGGCCATCCTCTGCTACAGGAAGCAGAGACCTGGAAGCGGAGTGGAGCAACCAGAATATGAACTGGCCCATATGGGATCCTGGTGGATGCAAGCCAAGGACCACTGCTAGGCTACCACAGTGAATCCTAATTCAATTGTTTATATATAGTTTGAACAGAGCCTGCAATGGGTTGTGGTGCACTCTCAATGGCTAATCCTCCACCTGTGGCATCAGCATTTCATATGGGCACCAGTTCTAGTCCTCGCTTCTCTAACAATCCAGCTCCCTGCTATTGGTCTGGCGAAGCAAACAAGGATGGTCCAAAGCACAGGCTTCTGACATTTAAGACTAGGAACTGCTGGTGCCAGAGCCCACCACCTACAGATTTCAGGGCCTAGTGCCACCTGCTGCGTGCGGAGCAGACCCACTTGATCCCAGAAAAATTGTGGTCACTGCTTCTAGACTTTTCCTGGCTCACAAGAGACCTTCATGCTTAAGGCTTAGCATAAGGAGGAACCAGGCAAGTTTCAGACATGGAGAGAGAGGGTAGCTGGGGCAATCGTCAGCAAAGCTGAGGCCATTGACAAATTCTTTGCTGAAATCACCTGGTACTATCTAGCTTCAGAAAAAGGGAAGTCAGTGTTCCTATACTGCTTCTAGTCTACTCCAGCCAGGGCACAGCTGGAGTGTCGGGCTGTGTAGCACTGCGTTATCATTATCCCAGACCTCACTTCATTCTGGGCACTGATACCAAGGGAGCAAGAACCACAGTGCTCCTCAGGCAGCCTCCCTGGCTTGTGCAAAACCAGCATGTCACAAGGTACTTGTCACTAAGTTTCTTATTTTGGTCTCAGGAGCAGCAGGAGTCGCCACTGAGGGTTTTTTGTTTTATTTATTTATTTATTTATTTATTTATTTATTTATTTATTTATTTATTTTACAGATTTACTTGTTTATTGGAAAGTCAGTTATACAGAGAGGAGGAGAGACATAGAGGAGAGACAGAGAGGAAGATCTTCCATCTGATGATTGATTCCCCAAGTGAGCACAATGGCCGATGCTATGCCGATTTGAAGCCGGAAACTAGGAACCTCTTCCAGGTCTCCCACAAGGGTCCCAAAGCTTTGGGCCGTCCTCGACTGCTTTCCCACGCCACAAGCAGGCAGCTGGATGGGAAGTGGAGCTGCCAGGATTAGAACCGGCACCCATATGGGATCCCGGGCGTTCAATCGAGGACTTTAGCCGCTAGGCCACGCCGCCAGGCCTGAGGGTTGTGTTTTAATCCCTGCTCCTCCCGTATCACAGGTCCATACCCATATCATCCTGCTTAAGGCTGCGAAGTCTGTGGGAAGTACTGAGCCCTGAATAAAGGTCACAGGCCAGCTCCCCAAAGCTGCATAGGTGGCTGGGAAAACACAGCCCATTCACTGAAGCCTGTTTCTCTGTCTGTACAGTCCCACAAATGGTGTGTGTCGGTTCTTTGCACCAATGGCCCCTACCACCTCAGTCTGCACCAAATCCTCCTTGTCTCTACAAGAAAAATAGGGACAGTGTACTTAGAACCGCCTGGGTTGCCCTGAAATCCCTGCCTGAGACTTAACATTGAATCGGGCATCTTGTGACAGTTCCAATGTGAAGCCTGGAACTTGCAGAGTCAGAGGGCCTCCTGGGAACAACCGGATCTGTCTGCATGCCTGGGGAATCTTATAGGAGGATTGGGTCCCATCTGCCTTCAGCTACAGGCCCTGGTGAGCCCGTGTCCTGCAGTCACCTGCCTCCTCGCCATAAGATGTCATTCTCTGCTCTACCAAAAGGCCTCAGGGTCCTCCTGCCAGACCACCAGCTCCCCCGCCAAGGCAGACAAGATATAGAAAGATTCACACTTAGTATATTCTTTATTGCTATTCTGAAATAACATTCTACCTTGCAGACAAAGTGTTATTTGCTCTACAAATAACAGCATTCAGTAACTTAAATAAGTTAGTACAGCAAGAAAAAGGGTCAATGGAATAAATAGTAATTGAAAGTAGACTGGTTAATCTTCACTCACTGATAGTTTAAAATAGTCACAGTATCATTAAAACTACAGTCGTATGTCATTCTCTTGATCTGGCAAACTAGGCTGTGAGATTAGGTCCACCTCTCTTGAGGTACAGGAGCCCAAGCATTGGGCCACCTTCTCCTGCTTTCCCAGACATTAACTAGGAAGCTGGTTCAGAAGTGGGAACTGGACAAGATACCTGCTCCGACCAGCAGAGCCAGTAACATGGACAGGGAGAGGGTCTGGGGATGAAGCATCCACAGGAGACCAGTGACAGTGGAAGTCTCTGTGAAGTCTCACTTTATTGCTCCTTCACCTCTCCGTATACACTCTTCCCCCATGTCCTAATTTAGCCAGGATATTGGACACAGATAAATCCAATTAATCCAGGTGTTTTTAGCCACAAGCCAAGTTCCTGTTCCTGCCCATTACAACCAGCGCTAATCAACTCCTTAGCCCACAACAGGTACCCATATGGGATACCAGACTGAACCTGCAGCTTTTTCTGCTGTTTCACAATTTAAACCCTCAATGTGTTTTTACTTATAACACCATCATTATTGAGGTAGAGGTAGGGGACTAGCAAACAAATAACCCTATGAAATGTAATAGAGTACTGAGATTCAGTGTATTTCTTCCATTCCTACTGTGTCTTTTATTCCTCATCCATCAAGGAGGTAGAAGAAAAGTATTCTAGAATTCTGTTCTATGGCATACAGCACATGTAGCCTCCCCAGGGGCAGGCTGTCTGGGACTGGAAGCAGCCTTTTTCATTACACATGCATTCCCTCAAGCCTGTGCTCTCTGCCACCTGCCTTTCTGTGGCCTGCCAGCAGCCTACAGATGGTTCCTCCCAATCAAAGAGTAGGTGCACATCATTTCCCTCAGTGTGATCTTCAGACCACACTTTCTCACTTTGGAACATCTTGGAAATAGTTTTCAAGGCATAAGAGAATAATTGTGGTATTCCAGAGAAAGATCCAGCATAGAGGGAACAGCAGGACAAAGTCTTGAGAGTACCATGGCAGTGAAGGAGAAGCAAGAGGAGGGAAAGAGGGCTGAGCAGGTAGGGACTCAGGCACCAGACAAGTTAGGGAAGGCCTGGGCCACACCAACAAGGAAGTCCTGCTTGCTCAGTGGCTGGCTGGTACAGTCCACGGAGAAAGAGACTCTGAACTCAGGTCCTGCAAAGACCTGGAGGGACTGCACCTAGATCTTGTGGCCTGACTATAATCCTTGGTGATGACAGAAATGGAGCCTCAGCAGCCCACCTTCATGGCTGCCAACCTTCTTGGGCACTTTGTGGTACTGGAGGAGCTCTATCAGTGAGTTTTGCTGCCTAACAAACAAACCATAAACATTGGCTTTTTGAGATAAATATTCCTGCTGCAGTGCAGAGAGATGATTCTGAGGCTCCTCCGACCACAGCTAGGGTGTTCAAGTGCTGTTACAGAGCTTCCAGTGATCCAGGCTGGTGTCCCTGAGAGCAAGCAGGATGATGTGGCTCTGCTTCTGGTCTCTCCCTTTTCCACCAGCAGTCAGGCTTGGACTAGGCACTTGTTCAAGCCCAGATGCATCACAGAAGTCCAAGGATGAATGCACATGGCCTCCTGAGGTCTAGGCTGGGACTGACACACATCCACTACTGTTTCATTGCATAGGATGAAGCAGGTCATAGGATTGAGCACACAGTCAAGGCTGCAGTCCATGATGGAAGACATAGCTAGTGTCAGAGGTCTGATCGAGTCAAAGCCCTGAGGTAGCAAGTCCATCCAGATTGGTTGGTTGATATGCATTGGTCATCATTCACTGCTTTTTCAGGTAAGGTAGCTGGATGAAGACAGAAAAAATGAATTTCGAAGCAGCACACGGATGTGGTTGGCTGGCTTTCCAAGCATCAAACTCGCATGTCTCAGTTCTGGTCCACGATTTCCTGAACTGATGTCATATTAGTTCATACATGCTTATTCCAATTCTAGCTGGAAAAAGACAGAAATATGTATCAATTACAAATAATTGAAAACAGCTTTACATCCTGCTCTCTTATTGACTGCTCCAACCAGGAGAACTAGTCCCAGGAATCAGTCCACTGACTAGATAAGCAGCTTTATCCCTGTAAGAACACATCATTCCCCTTTCCCTGAAGCATTTCCAATGAGCTGGTCAGCTCCTGTTCACATTCCACCTTGCCAAAACCATGCATGTTTGGTTTTCGTTGTCTAGAACCATTTTCACCAACACTTGGAAGCATGTAGGCATCAGCCTAATGAAGGTGAAAGATTGTAGACCAGTGAAAGACTGTAGTAAGTTGGCCAATGGAGGTATTAATTTAATACAACCAGTTGCAGGAAGGAAAACCCCTCTTCAAGCCAACATCCCCAGTGTTTGATAACAGCAGTTATAGCTTTACACATACTGGTCTACACATACAGGTACAAGGTCTGGCCGGAAAAGGCATGCTCAGATTCAATTCACAGGGAGCCTGTGCAGCACACAGACAGAGGGCAGCTGCCACTGCATCCTCCCAGAGCCCCAAACCCCATGTGGGGATCACATAGATAACTTCTTCCCGAGCATAAGGAAAACCACTTACATGTACAAAATCCCAGCAGCCATCCTGAGGACTTGTGAACATCACTCAATGCCTGAAACCCAGACTTCCTAATGTGACTTCAAGATACAGGGCTACAACTGCCAAGGAGAGCACGGGGAATTGGAGTGCCTTTGGAGGCTGAGCATTCTGAGGTCATCCATTCCCATTTGAATATCCCACATGGGATAGAAGAAGTCTAAATCCCTCCTCGCAGGACCCAATGTCACCGGAACAACAGCCAGGAGCCCTGAGCAGTCTACAGAAACAGAAGAACAATAAACTGCATTCGGGACTAGGGAGAGGAGCTTTCTCCTGTCCTTACTTAGTTCCAACTCTGGATCCCACCCTCTCTTGCAGTGACCATCAGGGTTGCCCCGGAGTGCCCCCCAAAACAAAACAAAACAACAAAAAAATTAGAATAGACAGAGAACAACAAGGAAAGCTTAGAACTAGACAGGAAACGATCAGTGGGGACTCACACATACCTTACTAGGTTGGACACGAAAATAAATTACTCCTAACTAGGGAATGGAGGATTTCTCTGCACACCCCTCCCTACAGTGTTCTGTGCCTCAACTGGTGACATATGCCTTGTTAAAGCTATAAGCCAGTTTAGACTATCCTAAAATCTGCCAAGTTCAGGAAAATTTAACTTCAACACAATAAACTGCTAAATACTAAAATGAAAATAGACATGAGACAGCTGAATAGTATTCTCTCGCCATTTTAAGGTAGATAGAAGCCAGTTGTATACAAACTAAAATTGAAATGTTAATGAAGTAGTCACAGGATGTGGTTAAGAACCTGCATTTTCTAACATATCAGTCACTCAATACAATGTCAATTAACCCCATAGTGTTGGAAACAGTTCTTGATGTTATGTTATGACTTTTAATTGGTTGGAACAATATTCTGCCAGAGTTGCTCTCCTCAAGAAACTGTTGAATTGAACTAGACAATAAGATGCTGGACTCTATGCATGGCACATGCTTGCAATGAAAGAAACAAGACTGGATTTGAACTGTAATACTGCAAAAAGGTGGAGCAATCCATCATGGGGGGAGGGCACGGGGAGAGGATGCGGGAACTTCAGAGCCTATGAAACGATGTTATAAAATGAAATGTAATAAAAAGAAAGATACAGGGCTAAAACTTTGCTTAGAGGTTCCTTACCATTTGCAAATGCAGCAAACCAGCACAAAAACTACAGCAAGCTGCATTGTTATAATAGGCAAAACAATCCTGTAGTTGTTGTTCTTCACAGAGTCTGCAGAGACAAAGAGAAAAATGTTAAGAAGCAGCTACTTGTAAGGCCAAAAAAATGACCCAGCCACTCCAAGGTTACATGCGTTTTGTGTTCCCCTTCCTCTGCCTCAGGTCACAGCTATTCCATTCCTACCACATACAACTTGACATGTCAGTGTGTTCAACCCTTGTCAGAAATGCACAGCAAGATGCAACACCACATACACAGGCCACACAAAGCTTGAAAGCTTCTACAGCCACTGTCAGCACACATCCCTTACACACTTACCACTTCAACCTTAAAAACATACACACAGCGTATTTATACCACTTGTGCTTCCTCCACACATTGCATGCATATCGTTATAACAACCCACCACAAACTCCCATATGCCAAAGAACAATTCTTTCTTCCCTCTGGGAATGTCCAAGGTCTCATCTGGCACACCCAGACCCCATACCCCTGAACCTCTGCTTCCCTTCCTCTCCTGGATCCAGGAAAATGCATTTTAGCAACAGAGTCATTCGCAACAACACCATGGCCATGACCAGGACAACCATGATGGATTCAATGGCGACCCTCTCACCAACACCAACAGCAGGAGCGCTTCTGCAGTAGCTGTGTTGCACTAAGCATCTGACCTGCCTGGCACAGGCTCTGGGCATAAGATGGGATTACTGTTTGGCCTCTACCAGGCAACATTTTATGGCAGATCTGGTCCTGCTGGGAGGGATAATGACAAGGCTGCTTCCTGACGCAGTCCAGCCCCTTCTCTTCAGGTATTTGGATACAATCCTGTCCCCATTCCTCTATAGGCATGCAAGTTTACTCCAACCCTCAAAGGCCATTGAGAACCAGCCTTACGGAGACATGAGATGATGAGTAGCCCTGTTTCCACTGGACCACTCTCTCTACTCGAGCTGACCACATCTTCTGCTCTTGGGGAGAGGGACTTAGTCTCGGTTGCTGACTCTGGGGCTGAGCTACGCTCATCCCAGCTTGCTCCCTCCGGCCCATGCTTTACTTCCTTCCCCATCAAACGCCAGCACAGTGCCTGGCATGCCTGAAAGCCAAGGTGTAAGTTGCACTGCCTCAAATCGTGGAGTAGGGAACATGTCCAGAAAGAGGCTTACCTGTCACACTCAGTGTGAGGTTGAGTCTCTGGGTGGTGTGCAGGGAAATGTGACTCACCACACACTGGTACACGGCCCCAGCATCTTCCAGAGGAGACTTCAGTGTCACATAGCTAGTGACATTAAAGGTCCCATCCTCATTCTGGACATGATGACCAGTGAAGATGCCTTCAGATATCGGCAGAGGCTGGGCCACATTCTGGAGACAAACCTCCCATGTTATGTTCACAGAGTCTGGGTAGAAGCCACATGACATACACACAATGCATGTATATTGCCTTGAATTCTCCGGGGCCTGGTCCTGAAATATTTAGCTGCTTAGAATAGCTGCCAAGGGGAAGGATTTGCACAGTGTTGGCCCGAATCTTCAACTCTCTCTTTCTCCCCTCACTCACTGACTCCTACCCCACACATACACATCTGCACCTCAATGCTTCTGTAGAAGGACAGGACCCAGTACCTGACAGCCCCACTCTCTTTACAGATGGAAATTGGGGCATAGGTAATTCAGCAGACACGCCCAAATTATCATCCTGAGAAACATGCACTTACTAAAGCAGGTAAAAGAGGCAAGGACTGGGCCCCGCTGTTGGGGGCACTGACAATTTCCTGCCCTGTGATTGGCCCTTTGCCCTGATTGGTGTGCCTTGGGTATCTTTAAGCTGATTGGACAGGTTTGACAGTTAAGTGGGGGCTTGGCGGGGGAGTGGCTGGAGCGTAAGGGTCATAACGGTCATAACGGTCATAACGGACACAACGGAAGATCGGAATAAAGCACCTTGGAGACTCTCTCAAGTATCGGGTGATTTCTTCTGCGGGACAGGAGGACCCCTGATACCCTGCGCCATGGTCTAGCAGCTAAAGTCCTCACCTTGAAAGTGCATTGATCCTATATAGGCACCAGTTCTAATTCCGGCAGCTCCACTTCCCATGCAGCACCGTGCCTGTGGCCTGGGAAAGCAGTAAAGGACTGCAAAGCCTTGGGACCCTGCACCCACATGGGAGACCCAGAAGAGGATTTGGGCTCTTGGCTTTGGATCAGTGCACAGCACCAGCCGTTGTGGTCACTTGGGGAGTGAATCATCGGATGGAAGATCTTCCCCTCTGTCTCCTCCCCTCTCTGTATATATCTGACTTTGTATTCAAAATAAGTAAACCTAAGAAAGAAGGAAAGAAGGAAAGAAGGAAAGAAGGAAAGAAGGAAAGAAGGAAAGAAAGAAAGAAAGAAAGAAAGAAAGAAAGAAAGAAAGAAAGAAAGAAAGAAAGAAAGAAAGAAAGAAAGAAAGAAAGAAAGAATCAAGATGGTAGAATAGGGTAAGGACACGTTTAAGTGGATGGAAAAACATTTAATCAGGATGAAGCAGAGAGGACATATTCCAGGAAATAGGAGAGGACAGAACAACAGCAGAGGGGCACCTGGAGACTGACAGACACAGGAAAGCAGCGGACACAATGGTGTGGTGTTGCAGTGACTGACACTCCAGTGAAATTCAACTAACAGCAACCTGAACTCCAACAGCAACTGGAACTCCAGAAACAACCAGGTGGGAAGGGACTTTCACTGCAAGCTTGGGGAGTGAACCCAGACAAAGTACTGTCTGTCCTGCTGGTCCCTTTGATTTGGCCAGGAGCAGAGACAGAGCAGCAAATCTCAGACGGGCAGTGTGAGAACAGGGTAGATTTCACAGCCCAGTCAGCCACCTAGAGCTGAACTGGGTGCCATTTTGCATAAGGAGGAAAGGGTAAGGGAAAGGACTGAGCATGCGCTGAGCTAGGAGTGAACTCATTTCTGACTCAGTGAACTGCATCAACATGGCTTTCTACAGGTTCCACCCAGGGCAGATCTGCGTATCCCTCGGAGCTGACGGCCAGCACATCAAGAACTGAAGTGGTGGTACATCAGGCGCCATTTTGCGCACTGTGGCAATAGCTTTGGGACTGCAGGGGATAACAGTGAACTATACATGTGCTGAGCTCGCGAGAACTCACTGAGCTCAGTGTGTTGCATTGGTTCCAGAGGAAAATAATACCGACTGTGGCATCGTACAGGTCAAAATAAGTCCGTGTGGCACCCAGACCTAATGTCCAACAGGTTCCGACAAGATCAGCCCTACCAACAACCTAACCATATAGGACACATTTTGTGTCTCTAATCCTGGGACCTGCTCCAACTGAAAGTGGGAGAAAGGTTGTAGAGACAATGGTGCAGCCTCAGCATGGTATCACAGGAGGTGGAGAATGGTGAGCCAAGAGCTGGGGCTGTGGAGACCACCGTGGAGATCTAACATAAGAACCCAGACCTGGAACTCGCTGGAGGTTGTGGCACAAGTGGCTGAGAGCAACAAGTTGTGTACCAACTGCAATAAGTAAAATCGCATTGTAGACCTTGTGGGTGACAGAGCTTAGAAACCTGCCCCAAGGAGAAGACTCTGCTAACCAGAAGTACAATGATCAAGAGCAAAAGAAGAGACAAAGGCACAATGAATACTACTGAAAACTCTCTGCAGAGGAGCAAAACCCTATGCCAACCTCAGAGTTACCTGAGAAAGACATCGAGAAAATGGGGGACACAGAATTCATAAAACTCATTTTAAAGCTTCTGATCAACAATGAGAAGCACATACAAGAGTTCAAAGAATTTAAGGCAGCAATAAAGCAAATCATGGCTGATATATCAAAAATTAAGCACACAGTAGAGCAAATTAAAAGTGCAATGAAGAGTCTCCAAAATAGAATGAAGTAAGCAGAAGAAAGAATCTCAGAATTGGAAGATATTTCCTGTCACCCAGGGGAAGCAAACAAAAAGCTGGAAGAAGAACTGGATCAGGCCAAAAAAAGTATTCAAGAACTGAAAGACACTATTAAGAGGCCAAATGTAAGAGTTATGGGAGTCCCAGAAAGTGCAGAAAGAGAAGCTGAGTTTGCAAATGTATTTAATGAAATAATAAAGGAAAATTTTGCTAATCTAGAGAAAGAATTAGGAAACAACATCCAGGAGGGGCACAGAACTCCCAACAGGCTTGGTCAAAAGCGATCTTCACCACGACACATGATGATCAGGCTCTCTTCAATTGGACATAAGGAAAAGATCCTTAAATGTGCACATGAAAAAAAATCAGATGACATATAAAAGAATGCCAATTAAATTCACAGGAGATCTCTCACAGGAAACCCTACAGACAAGAATGAGAATGGAGTAACATATTCCAGAGTTTAAAACAAAAAAATTGTTGGCCTAGGATAATATACCCAGCAAAGCTTTGTTTCGCCTTTGAAAATAAAATAAAATTCTTCCACAATAAAGAAAAGTTAAAAGAATTTGCCTCTTCTAAACCTGCCCTACAAATGATACTTCAAGATATTCTCTTGACAGAGACGAGGAATAGCACCCAACAAAACCAAAGGCAAACGAGAACATCTCAGTAAAATGACAACAGAAGACTAAATCAATGAACAACCCATTCCTAAAATGACAGGACCAAAGTTCCACCCAAACATAATACACTCTGAATGTAAATGGCTTAAGCTCAATCAAATGTCATAGATTAGCAGACTGGATTAAAAACAAAACCCATCTATTTATTGTCTAGAAGAGACACACTTCACTAACAAAAATCAGCGGAAACTATATCACATGGATTTTGTTGTTTTCTGTTGGTTTCATCTCTTCAAAACACTTCCTTCTGATTAAATCATTCAATGACTCATAGTTATGCAGTGGCATCATTTTCTTCAAGAAGGTTCTTGATTTTCATTTCTTTAGCTACGCATTAGACATTTAATAGCATGTTGTTTAACTTCTTGGTGTTGTTAATTTCTTTTTTCTCCCTGATGTTGATTTTGTTTTGTGGCTCTTCATTTAAGGGGATGTATAGTGGCTGTGTAATGGAGACTAGTAACATGTCATTTAAATTCATGGCATTGTAAATTTCGATTTTTCTTTTTATTTTTGACTTTGTATCATGACTTTTCATTTAACGTGATGTACAGTAGCAGTGAAATGGAGACCAACTTCCAGATGTGAGAATACAGTGTGGTATGCATTTCTGCTTCCAGACAAAGATGAACTTACAATGAAACTGTTTACTATATCTTGACAATAGGATGCTGGACTCTCTGCCATTGTCCATGCCCACAATGATGGACATATGATTGAGTATGAAGAACTATATACTAGTAATGATATAGAGAAATTAGGTGGGGGGGAGGGAATTGGAGAGGGGCTAAGGGAATATGGAACTGCTTCATAAAATGATAATAATAAAATGAAAGAAAGAAAGAAAGAAACAAACAAAAAGAAAGAAAGAAAGAAAGAAAAGAAAGAAAGAAAGAAAGAAAGAAAGAAAGAAAGAAAGAAAGAAAGAAAGAAAGAAAGAAAGAAAGAAAGAAAGAAAGAAAGAAAGAAAGAAAGAAAGAAAGAAGCCAGCCACTGGTCATGTTTAACCATAAGGCAGAACTGCTCCTCTCCTCTGCCTGAAAAAAAAAGGGGCAAGGACAAGCTTATTACCCACCTGATATCTGACACAGAAGAACACCTCAGGAAGAACAAGTGAACTGAATCAGACTCTGCTTTGACTAAATGTCAAACCAATGCCAGCAGCATGCCACCATGCTAGAGCCCAATGCTCACAGTATGAGTGCAGCTGAGTCTCCTCACACATCTTGCTTCCTACACATCTGGGAGAATCTGCAGAAAGTCTTAGAGCACTGTTGTGGGACACAATGCTCATTGATTCCTAATTTCTGTTACATAGTTTCAGTTAGAAACAACACATCCAGATGAAGCCTATATCATCTGAATGCATGGAAGGTTGGTCTAGCCATGTGAACTGAGGGTCTGGTCATTCCAGATTCACTGAAATGTGGGGAGAGCAACTCCCTGGAAACACACATCCATCAAAGTGTGTCCTGAGGATGACAAGTGTGCCCTGCCCTTGCAGAATGGCTGGACTCCCCTGTGATGGCTGGGAATACAAAGGCCATGTACCATGATCAGATGGCAGCTCCACTTAGAGATGGCAGAATCACTGTTTGGCAAGAGCAATATCCATCCATATGACAAAAACAAAACAAAACAAAGAACAATGTGCGGCATCAGAGAAATTCCTCAAGCTGATAAAGAACTTTTACCTAAAATCTATGGCCAACATCCTGAGGAAGAAAGTAAAAAATTTCAGGAGCAGGCAGGATGCTCCCTCTAATTCCTAGTCCATTGCAATGACTCCAGACCAGCAAAATAGTACAGGGATATCAAAGACTTGGAAAGTGTAATGAAGCTATATTAATTCACAGATAATGTGATTTACATATATATAAATACAAAGATTCAACCAAAACACAAGAAAAAAAGGCTTTGAGAACTACTAAGGATAGCAGCAACCTCAATGATATGAAGCCCATGTACAAAAATCAATTACTTGTCTACAGGACAGTAGTGATCAACTGAACTTTGAAATTAAAATAATGACATACTTTACTTTTACACATGTCCGAGGTGGGCATTTTGCCTAGTTGCTCAAATGCAAGTTAGGATGCCTGTGCCCCATACCAGGGTACTCAGGCTCAGTCCCTGCACCAAGCCCTGACTCCAGTTACCTGCTTTTGCTGCCCTAGGAGGCAGTGGTGATGGCACAAGTAGTTGGGATCCTTTAAATTCAAAAGGGGATGAGGACTGAGTTAGCTCTCAATTTGGTCCACTGCCTGCTGCATACATTTCAGAATAAACCAGAAAGCAGGATATGTTTCTCTCATTTTTTCTCTCTGCCTCACAAATTAATGTATGAAAATGTGAATATATGTAAATATATAGAGAGGGACACATATAATAGTCATATATATATATATATACACAGAGAGAGAGAGAGACACACACACACACAGGATCTATGTGAGGAACACTGCAAATTGTCAAACAAAAAACACTAACAGCTAACTAAATGAAGAGATACTCTGGCAGGAATGAGGGACCTCAGGACTGACCCTCATGCAGCACTGGACAACACACAGATGACGCACAAAAAAAGGGAAACCATCTGTGTGAAGTCAACACAAGACTCTGAGGACCTCACAAAAAGGAAAGGGTACAGCTTGAGCACCAAACAGGCCAGGTTCTACAATAGGCAGTTAGGCCTGTGAACACTGTGAGGTAGACAGGGACAGCCAATAGTCCCAGGAAGGATTTGGCACCTCTGGTGTAGCAAAGCCCCACAACCTCTCAGAACCATTAAGACCATTCAAGTAACAGCCTTGGAACGCACTTCACATCAGGGCCTCAAAGGACCCATTCAGGAAGACAGAGAGAAAAAGGCCAAAGGCAAGAGAACTCAAAAGAAAGCAACACCATTGACACCTTTCCTGAAATACAGCTTCCTAAGTGTGAGAAAACCACCTGTGTTATTAAAAAATCCGGTCCTAGTACTCCCTTATGCTGCCCCAGCTACCTACCACTAAGTGCAGCCAGGGAGCATCAGGGAACTGAACAAGCAGCAAGTCTCAGTGGATGGCTCATTTTAGTTACCATCACTTCTGAGTCTCTCCATTTTAATGCTTATAGAAGTATTACAATGCACATTTCTAAAGATTTATTTATGTATGATTATGAAAGTCAAAGCAAAGAAGAGAGAGAATCATGCTCCCATACATTGCTAAGTCCCCAGATAAACACACAAACCAGGACTAAGCCAGGCTGAAGCTGCAAGCCAGGACCTCCATCCTGGGTCTCTCACATGGATGGCAGGAGCCCCAGCACTCAGGCCTACTGGGCTGCTTTCCCAGGAACAAGAGCAGGGAACTACTTTGGGAGAGGTGCAGCTGCACTAAACCAGCAACCTTAAGGGATGCCAGGGGCACAACACACCATGACACAACACGGACCCCACATGCAGCCATCTTAACTGCTAGGCCCAACCCTGACCTCCTATTTCAGTTGATCTGAAGATGTTTCCTACTGTTCCCCACAAGGGCTCAAACACTTTTCATGTCACTGTCTGCAAGAGTTTCCTTTTCTCCCCATCTCACCAGCATCTATTCACCAGACTGCTGGGTAACACACCACACTGGAGCTCAAGATGGAATTTGGGGATGTGTCTGTCCTGTCAGGCTTCATCATACCTCACTCCACTGCACATCTTGCATAACATCTTCCTAAGAATCCCTTTTTGGAAATGGGAAATCCAGGTGCAAGGATGCTAAATGTTTATCTCACTCACTTGGAAGCACAAAAATTGAAGGGGACCACAGTCCAGCAACCCTCTCTTTCCCAGCTGCCTCCCCAAGGAACCTGCTCAGATAAAATGACAACCCACACCCAGTGGGAATAATGCAATAACCACTATTGCTGTCTTCCACTCACTATGTGTCATGGACAGGGGCACATCCAACATTTCACCTGCATCTTCCCAACATGCCATCTCTCCCCACTCCTCCTGGGCAGATGCCATCACATTTGTTTCTAGCAAGGGCACCGAGATTCAGAGGCTTCACACCTTGCCCAGAGTCATCTCACCACCCACCAAAGCCCAGCTCTCTAGCCCACGGTGGGTCCCCAGACCAGCCTCTAACATCCATCCCACTCTGCACCTGCAGCCCCACGGGATCCCGGGCATTGCCCTCAGGCACTCACCCACAACTTCCAGCTGCACACTTTTCTCATCCATCTCAGGGGTGACCACCACCTTACAGAAGTACTCTCCAGCATCACTGAGCTGAATGGCTGGCAGGTGCAGTGAGGCCTCTCCCCTCATCAGCTTCTCCTGAGAGATGTTGGCTCCAGTTCGGTATGCCTTCTCGTGATCTCCATAATACTCAAACAGAGGAACTTTCTCCTCTGTTCCTTTTTTCCTCACAAACCAGACAACACCCACAGTGCTGATGTCCAGAGCGGGAGAACCAGGGATCTTGCAGGTGATGGTGATGTTGTCGTTGAGAAACACGGTCTGAGTCCTCCCTGCCATCTCCACCCGAAATCCTGTGGAAACAGGAGAACTCAGTTACACAGAGACCCTTGACACAAACACGCCTGCAACTCCATGCAGAACCACATAACTACAAACGCACAACTTCATGAAGTGGACAGGGAATGATTCAGGACACAGGTCCATTGTCCATTGCCCTGTAATAACTCAAAAGCAGAGGGCTTCAATTCCAGGCCCATACAGCGGGATCTTGGCTGCACGCAATGAAGCATAAGGCTGATGAACACCCCGGGAGGGTGAGTTCTAACCAAACAGTGTATGAGGAAGAGCAGAGGATGACAAGTGAAAGCATCAGCCAGGTGGGGCTTCTTCAGCAGGAAATAGCCCCATACGAAATTTGAATAAAGGATTTGTAGAAAGATTTTTTTGGTGTGTGGAGTGAGCTCATACTGATTCCTGGACCTCTTATCCTCCCATTAAGTTGCAATTCTTACAGGAATTAGAAGTTCAAGTTCTCTCTCTCTCTCTCTGTATGTGTGAAGGGTGAAGTTGTGATATCTGTCTTAAACATACTCCCAAGAGTGGGCACAGACAACTCCAGTCACCTGGTCTCTCTGCGGCCTTGCAACACAGCCTGCTTCTCCTCTGAGGAATCAACACGTTTTGGCTTTTATTGCTTTTTGAGCAGTAAGCATGCTCGCCAGCAAAGGTTAATGAAAAGATTATCTACACCTGACAACCTTGTAGGTCTCTCAATAAAGAACTCAATGCAATGCTCTCTGTCTCTTTCCTTACCACTCTTGCTTTCTAGCTCAGCACAACTTCTCAGCTGGGCTAAGCAAGTGCTGTGCATCACAGGAGGGCCCACTTGTTCTCTCTGCCTTCTGGCCATTCCTGCTCTGACACCTTCAGCCCCTCCCTAACACACAGGAAAGCCTCTGCAGCTTTGTCCTTCTCTTGCAAGGTGGTCTGCTTGGCTTTCTGATTTCCTTGCGTTCTGGAAGCAGCCCAGCAATTTCTCTAAAGAAGGTAGCTGAGATTTATTCACTCTTATAGAAAAAGGAAAACACAGATAACCACACTTTCATTGTAACTTATTTAGACAGCTTATACATTTAAATCGCATTAATTCTCTCTCGAATAGTATATGGGCAAACTAGGCAGCAACACTGTCATAAAATAGCAGTCCAATCTCGTGAGATACACATGATAGTTTATATTCAACTCACATGTGACATCAAGATAAAATTTTGCTGCTACAACCATGAAGGCCATTCATTTTAGCTATGTCAGGGGGCTCTGAGTTGTAACCAAAGCACTAAGCAAGCCTGTTTGCTCTACATCTTGCTAAGGGATGAATCTCATCATTTTTTGGAGACTATTAAAAATGTACACATCCAGTCTTGCCCATCTCAGCCTAACACAGGGCAGGCTAAGGTTAAAACATGAGCAACAAACCCATTTACATAGATTTGTTGAACAAGTATGCAAGGTCTTTTCAGGAAGAGGCAGTAGAAATTAACAGCAATTTTTATAGTAACTTTCCTTTTCATTTGTTATCAATTTCTGCATGCAAGCATGCATCCATGAACTTGGGGGCTACGTTCTGACAAATGATTATTTCACAAATTAATCACCTGAGCAACAACATGGAGCACACTTGCACAGACTTACCTGGTCTAAGACAGCCGCCCAATGTGGCCTCTTGATGTTCTCAAGAGACTGTTCTAAACATGAGATGTATGGCAGTGGCATACAAAGCTGCAGAAGACCTTTTTGAAAAATAAGCAGAGGTGCCAATGCTATCCTGTGGTGGCTAAAAGTACCATGAGCATCCCATATAGATGCCTGTTCGTGTCCTGGCTGCACCAAGCCTGATTCAGCTCCCTGTGGATGTGCCTGTGAAAGCAGCAGAAGAAGATGGCCCCTGTATTTGGGCCTGGCACCCATGTGGAACTCCTAGGAATCCACAGGTTCCTGGCTTCACACTAGCCCAGCTCTGGCCATCGTGGCTTGTTGTGGAATGAACCAGTGGATAGGAGATACTTCTGTTTCTCCTTCTCTCTATCGCTCTGCTTTTCAAATCAGAAATCTTAGAAACAAACAAGCCAAAATCCAGAGTTTCATCTTTAACGACTAAAGAGACATTTTGAATAATATATCCTTGGCACAGATCTGGACAACATTTATCAAACATGGAAGGGAACGAACTCACTCCCTATTCCAAAGAAGACAGCCAGATATCAACAGTTACAGAAATAAAGTCAGATGCACAATTTTAACAAATTCTTTCTGCTGTTTTCTTACAGGATTCATTTTATTTTTATTTGAAAGCTAGAATTCCACACAGAGAAGGACAGAGACAAAGAGAGGTCTTCCGTCTGCTGGTTCAGTCCGCAACCAGCCCCCGGGGCCAGACTTGAGTCAAGAAGAAGCCAGCAGCCAGCAGCTTTCAGGGTCTCCCATGTGGGTGCAGGGGCCCAAGGCTATGGGCCATCCTCTGCTGCTTTCCCAGGCCTTACCCAGGCGGGACATGAATCAGGCCCAAGCCTGCCACAGCACCACACTGGTCCCTACACTGTTTTCTTATAGAGCTTCCCTCCACCCCAGGGTCAATTCTCCCCTTAACTGAGGAATTGGCCTCCACTTCCTGGCCTGTAGGCTTAAATACCTGCTACAGATGGGGGTCCTTCGGGTTCCTCTGTAAAGTTTTTCTGATTTTTGAAGGGTTCCTTAGGGTTTTGTCTCTGGTGGTGTGCTCTGACTGTGTGCTCTTTGGTCTGGGGTGTCTCTTACTGATTTTTTCACTGAAAGTTTTGATTCCTCTTCCTCTTTCTTGTGGTTTTCTTCACAGTCAACAGGAACAGTTTCATTTTCCCCTGTCAGGGCCCATGGCTTGGCACACACCCATCATCAGCTTCAACTCCCTGTTTAGTCCAGGAACAGGACTGAAGCACCCAGGCCCTAATGGGCACTTCATTACAACCTCGGATTGGCACCGTGGCACTGTGGCCTCCAAAATAATGCGGCAAAGTTTTCTAAATGGCTCCAGTGACTTTTCTGACAATGTCTCTACAATTCATTCATCTCCTCTGCTTCATCCTGAGCAACGAAGGGTCACTATTCATGACCCCTGGTGCCCACTCACGTCCTCATCCACAATACCGCGATCATCTCTGATCTAGCACAATCAGAAAGTTGTTATGTCCACGTTCGGTTATGGCCCGGCCCTAACACCCAAATTCTTACAGTCTTGTACACACGGTTTGTGGGAATGCTGCCCTGAACACAGGAGGTCTTAAGGACATCCACCTGCTGTTCTACCCACGAGTCTCAAATTTCTGAGTCCACCTGGAGACCGCTGCGCAACCGCAAACCATTTGTACCTGCAGGCAGGCCTCAGCATCCCACCGTGTCCCCGGTGCACCCCACCTTACCTGCTGCCTCCAGTGCATCCCACAGCCACAGGAGCAGACACCAGACCCACCAGGGTGCCAAGGCCCGCTACATCTGGGCTGTCCGGTTTTCCCCAAGCCCATTTCGTAACTGCTCTTCCAAGCACGGGGCTGGCGAGGAGGGTATTTCTGCGGAAGGAACTGCTGCAAGTCGGTGTTTATATAAACGGAAATGGCCTTTTGTGTCAGCGAGCACAGCGCACTGTGAGTCACCCGTGAAGGAAGTGGCTGGGGGCGGTATAAGTCGGGAAGCCGACGCCCAGATTGGCGGGCAGAAAGCCAGCAGCCCAGCACTCCCCTAGCGCTACGGTGAAACCACCTACCGAGACCCCCATTGATCTCCCTAGTGATTTCGAAGGCTCCGAGGTCTGCCGATCAATGGGAACCCTCAGCTGGAGGGGCACAGCGGGCACTGACATGGGAGCTGGGGGCGGAGCTCCACCCCGGTGTATTTACAGTTATGGGAGAGCACTTGCCTTTTTTTTTTTTTTTTAATCTTATTTAGTTGATTAGGGTATAAAGGGTCAAGGGCTACAGGAAAGTGGGTAACACCACTGTTTCTACACTAATACCACCATTTCCCCCCCCTGTATCGGGGGTCAGGGAGAAACAAAGGGAGAAGCCCCACCCAGCCTCCCACCCATCAGCACTTGCCTTTGTGATTCTGTAGAGTTTAGAATAACCATTTGATTCTGCTTCTGTATATTGCTTTCTGCTGAGCAAGAGTAGAGCCATGTTAGAATAAGTATAGAAAAGTCATTTCATGAAACAAGTAAAGTTTTAGTTTCCCAGAAATGAGTCAGACAATTACAGGAATAAAGAAGATAAAGAAGCAAGGCCAACGCAAGAATGTAATGGATAAGAAAGTGAGAAAGTACCGGGTCACCTAGTCCTAAGACGAGGAATACAGACTGTCAACAATTGAGAAAATATACAAAGTTAAGGGACCCCCGGGCTATCTAGTCTGAAAGTGAGAAATGCTGACTGTTATGCAGAGTTTATGATTTTGCCCTATAAAAACTGTTCCAAAATGTTTGTGAGGCGCGCAGAGTCCTGGGTGCCTCCAGAGACTCTGTTGCCCATTCGCGAATGCTCAATAAAATCCTCATGCTTATTGCAGCCTCTGCGTTTGACTTGTTTTGCCAATGACGGTGTGGCTCCCCTCCACGGGGTTGGACTCTCCCCGAGTCTAACAATTCCAACGCACCAAGCATGCAAGAGTCAGGGCTGAGGGCAGACTGTGCCAAGCAGGGCCGCTGACCCTTCTGGCACATGTGGGATCTCACTGAGACTAGGAGTAGGCCCGGTTAGGGAACTTGGGGAACTTCTCTCCTATTCTGCAGTTCACTCTGGGGAGCATAGGAGCCTGAGCTGGTGGTAGGCCAGGCCAGACCAGGCTGCAGCACTCATCAGTATTTGTGTGGGCCAATCTTGGGATAGACCAGGCTGGTCCAGGCCACACTCCTGGTATGCATGAGAGCCAGGACAGAGTATGGGCCACAACAAACTGTGGGCTATGCTGGGATAGGTCAAAGCACCTGCCAGTATGTGCAAGACCCAGAGCTAGGAACTCTGGGGATTCCTCTGCTGGGCTGCACCTCCTGCTGATACATGTGAGAACTGGGGCTTCGGGTGGACAGGCTGGGCAAGGCTGCAGTATCTATTGGCATGCTTATGGGCTGCATCTGGGGGCAAGCCAAACTGAGCTGGGCTCCAACACCCTCTGGTGCTTGTGAGAGCCAGGATAGGTGTGGGACAGGCCAGGCTAGGCTGCAGCATTCACCAGTTCACATGAGGGTTGGGAGTGAGCCAGGCTGTGCTAGGCTGTTTCACTTGCCAGCAACAGCTGGGACTGAAGGTGGGCTAGGCTGAGCCAAGCTGTAGCACCTGATGACGAATGCTGAGAATGAAGGTGGGCCATCTCAGACAAGGCCACAGCACCTGCTAGCACATGTATGACTTGGGGCTGGAAGTGGGCCTGATAGGGGAACTTTAGGGATTACTGGGCTGCTACCAGCACTGGTGAGCATGAGAGCTGGGACAAGTGACAAGCTATTCTGGAGGGAGGTAGGTCTGGGGTAGGCTGCTGTAGCCACAGGCATGCATGAGAGCTAGAATACTACAGGCCAAACGAACTAGGAAGTGCCAGCTGGGAAGTGCTGGGACTGGGTACAAGTCATGACAGGTTGGACCACAGTACCCCCTGGCAGGTGCAAGATCCAGGGCTGGGGGAAAGCATGGTAGGGCAACTGTGGGCCTGTCCCTGCTAGGCTGTGCCTATTACTGGTGAGCACAAGAACCAGGGCTGGGGGCAGGCCATGCTGAACAAGGCTGAAGCACCTATCAGCATACATAAGGGCTGGGTCTGGGGGTGGTTCAAGCTGAGCTAAGTCACAGCATTCATGGGCATGCATGCGACCCAAGTGGGATGTGGGTTGGGTCAGATTAGCCACAGCAAACACTGATATGCACAAAAACCGGGCTGAGGGCAGACCTTGTGGGAGTTACTGGGATCTACCCAGCTGGATCACAGCACCCTCTGATAGGCATGAGAACCAACTCTGCGGTGGATGGCTGGGCTGGGCCACAGCATCCATGGACTCACGTCAGATGTTTGGCTGAGGCAGAACTGTTCAAGATGCATCCAGCGATACGTGTGTTGGCAGGTGCCAACAGACAACCTGACCCTGCACTGGTTGGTGTGTGTAGGAGTCAAGGCTGAGGTCACCCCATTTCTTGGGGGACTCCCTGACAGGACTGCTGGACTCAGACACTGGCCACAGGGAAAATCACAAGATGTGCGGTCCAACTTTGGAGTGCATTGTATCAGGACTGAGCCTCCTCAGTTGCTGATGCCTGGGCAATGAACAGCATGCCCAGATGCACATGCTGGACATGATGGCCAGCTCATTTAGGCCAGCAGGGTACTTTAACTGCCTTGTTGGAGAATAGAAAACAGAACAAGTTGGATAATTCTCCTGGCCAACCTTTGTAGCATGTTCCTAGGTTTGCAGATACACTAAGGTGGATTTTGTCAACCAATACACCTTGGAAAGATTTTCTCAACTCTGGAGCAATAAAACCAACAGCATTTCAGGCCTATTGAAACCACTCAAGTCACTCTCTCAGAACACTCTTCTCCACATCAGAGTCTCCAGGGTGTCCTCAAAGGACTTTCCCCCATTTTTGGGTGCTGATGTAGTTTGACAGTAAGGAGTAGCCCCCTTTCTCTTCCCCTGCAGACATAGGAGGAAAAAAAAAATAGACTATAACATGTGTCTCACCTACCTTCCTCTAAATTTGATCCTCCCACCTAATCAGAGGACTCATGGCCATGCATCCCTCTCAGCCATGTAAACAATATTAAAAATAAAAGAAACAAGAAAATAAGGACAATGGAAAAGGAGAGGAAAGGACTCAATTAAAATTCAGAACATCTAGATGTAACTGATCAAGAATATTTGATGCTATTTCTTAGCAAATTCACGTCCTGGTCTTTCTCTACTGAATAACACCGTCTCCTTATTATTGATAAATTGGAAATGTCTGCTGGATTATACAGAGGACAACAGATGGGCCAGAGAACTGAACTAGGAATGTTTCCCAGTGTCTGACTGCTGCACATCTGACCCCATGTTAGTGTTCTCATTCGGAGGAAAGGGATCCTGACTTAGTGACTCACCCCAGAAAAACATCTTCCAAGATAGGTGTTTCCTTTGAAATGCCCAGACACTGTTGGAGGAATGAAAGCCCACTTAGGGGCCTGGCAAGGTAGTTTGGTGGCTAAAGTCCTCATCTTGCATGTGCCAGGCACATGGGCATGCGCACACAGAGACAACTCACATCAAGAGAAATGTACAGATGATTAAAAGTGAGATTTAGGGAAAAAACTGGAGACACTATTTCCACGGAGTCTTACTCAATGTTACCGAACAAGAAGGAATTTCAGGGGGGCAGTGTGATTGCTCAACTGGCCCTCCACCTGCAATGGCTGGTACATGTCCTAGTTGCTCCACTTCCCATTTAGCTCCCTGCTTGTTGGCCTAGTTAAGCAGAGAAGAATGGCCCAAGTCCTTGGGACCCTGAACCCACGTGTGAAACCCAGAAGAAGCTCCTAGCTTAAGATCAGCTCAGCTCTGGCTATTGAGGCCATTTGGGAAAGAGATCAAAGATCAAAGATCTTTCTCTCTCCTTCTCTCTGTAAATCTGCCTTCCCAATTAAAAAAAAAAAAAAAGAAAACTTTAAAAAATGAATGACAACACAAAAATGATAGAAGTTTTAAATCGTGTCATGGAAGGGTGGGGATAGGGGCCATCTCCCTCAACCCAACTCAGAGGCCACTCAGGCGGGGCCCCCAGCCTCAGGGCCACCTGCAGGTGTACTCTGGGTACTTGGGGTTGTGGATTTTGCAGGGAGATTGGGGGATCGCAGAGGTGAGGGTGAGCGATGACCTGTGGATTCATGTCCAGAAGAGGAATTACTGCTGAGGGACATCCTTGGGAAATGGCCACCGCATGTGTAGGTGAGGAATGATTTCAGAAAGACTCCCAACGACAAGTGTGCTGTACTTGCAGGTAAGCAGGAGGACTGAGACCTGGTGGTTGAAGGGGAGAGACCAGAAGACCTTTATGGGTCAGACCCACACACCAGCCCACATGGGAGTTTTGAGATGGGCTTGTTAGCACGGAACAATGTTGACCACCACATACCAGCTCACACAAAAGCTAGGGCTGGGGGCCTGCCTGGTAGGGCTACACCCCAGTACCTGACAGTGAGTGTCGGAACAGTGGACTGGTCACATTAGGCTGGGCATGATACCAATCAACACACAAGAGAACCAAGTCCGGGGGTAGATTCTGTGGGGGATATGTGGGCCCAACCCTATGGAATTACAAGTCCTGCTGGATAGCTTAAGAGTTGCAATGGTGATGGCTGAGGTAGGCATGATCATGAAACTCACCAACACTCTCCAGTCCTGGGGCTGGGAACAAGCAAGCAGGGCCAGGCTGCAGCACCTGCCTAAGCACCCTAAAACAGGGTATGAGGTGGGCCAAGCTACGACATCCACCAGCTCACTCAAAAACTGGGATGGATGGGGCAGACCATAATGAATAAGGGCCTGACACCCACTGGCATGCATGGGATCTGGGTCTGGGAGTGGTCTGAGCAGGGGCACTGGAAAACTCCCCTGGTGGTTCATGGCTCCTGCTGGTGAGCAAGTGGTCCAGGCCTGAGTGTTGAGTAGGCTGGGCAGGGTAGCTCCATCTGTCAGCAAGTGTGTGAGTCGGTTTTGGAAGGAGGCAGACAGGGCAGGGCTGAATAAGCCATACCTCACTGGCAAGTGCAGAAACCAGGATGGATTGCAGGCCATGCCAGGCTGGGCTGTCATGCCTACCAGTTTGCATGAGCCAGAGATGAGGGCAGGCTGAGCAGGGTTGCAAGCACCTGCCAGCAAGAGTTGGGGCTGAGAGCAAGCTGGGCCAGGACAGGCTGCAGCATCTCAAGGCAAACACCAAGACAGGTGAGTGGCTATGCCAAGCTGTGTCAGAGCAACCACTGGCAGGCACAAGATTTGTGGCTGGGAATAGGCCTGGTAGGGGAGCTAACGGGGATACCCTGACTGTGTTGTGGTTCCCATTAGTGAGCGTGGGGGCTGCAGTCTGGTCTAAACATTTCCACAGTGTCCCTTGACACAGGTGTGGACTGGGTCTGGGGTATGCAGGACTGGACTAGGTTCCAGCACCCACTGGTGCTCGTGAGAAACAGGATGGATGCAGGATGGGCTGCACCAGGTCTCTGCCCCTGTGGAGCCATGCATGAGCTGTGTGTGGGTGTGAACTAGGTTTGGCTGGGCTGTAGCACCCAACAGTAAGAACCAGAGTGAGGGCCAGTCAGGAAAGGCCTCTGATCCTTTTAGGGCAGGAGGTGGACTGAGTAGGGTTGGCCTATGGACCCCCGCAGTGTGCCCGAGATCTGGTATTGGGAGAGGTTCTGATGGAGGAGCTTGGCAACTCTGTTGAGACATAGTCTCTACAGGTGAGCACAAGCACCAAGAAAGGGAGCAGCCAGATCAGGTTATGACATCCATGGATTTATCTTTGGCTCAGGTCTGGGATGAGCCAGACTGGGCCAGATCATATCATCCACTGGTAAATCCAAGAGCCAGAATGCTGTGTGGGTCATGTCAGATCTGGCTGCAATACCAGCTAGTTCATATGAGGGCCAGGACTGGGGGCTGGCTGGGATGACTAGGCTATAGTCTCCACCAGCATGAGCTGGAAATGGGGGTGGGCCAGGTTGGGCCAGGCTACAGCACCCACTGGCAAATGCCGAGGTAAGATGGGCCATACCAGTCTGGGTCATAGCAGCCAACCAGCACACATAAGACCCAGAGGAGAGTGGGCAAACCCTGTAGGGGAGCTACAGGGGGCTCCCCTGCTGGATCACTATTCCCACCAGTGAGTGTAAGAGCTGGGATTGGGGGCAGGCAAGGCTACAACATCTGTTGGCCTGCATGTAAGCTGGATTTGGGGAAAACCAGGCTGGGTAGACTGTACCTACTGGTACATGCATAAGCCAGAGTGGGTGTGGGTTGGTTGGGCTTTGCCGCATCATCAGCTAGCAGATGGTGCCTCTGGGGACAAACTTGTCAAGCTAAACCACAGAACCACCTGGAGAATGCAAGATCCATGAGTAGGCATGAGCCCATGAAGGAAATAGTGGACACCTCTCTGCTGGGCTGCAATTACCACTGGTGAACATGGAAACCAGGACTAGGGGTAGGCATGGCCTGATGGAGAGTGGCACCTGCTGGGACCAGTGTGGACTGAAAAGTGAGGCTGGTTGGGTGAACTAAGCTTCAATGCCCATTGATATGTACAAGAGCAGAATGAGATGTGGGACTGACTGGATCATTCTGCCATACATGCTGGCAAACACAGAAACCAGGGCAGGGAACAGGCCTGGTAGGAGTTATTGCAGGTCTCTCCAACTAGGCTAGAACTCCCACTGGTTTGTGTGGGCAGGATTGGGCTGGACTGCAACACCCATTAGTTTGCATAGAAGACAGAGCTGGAAACGGAACTGACCCAGCAATTGCAACTACCAGTGCATACACAGGCAGATTTGGGCGACAGAATGGGCTGGACCCTATATTGACATGCACACTCAGATGAGTTGTCTTTGGGAATCCGCCCAGCTGAACCACCAGTCTCAGAACTCCAACAATGGAGTGAACTGCAGCTTCTACAGTCTGACTGTAGAATGCATGTGTCAGAGCTGGGCCTCCTCAGTGGCTTAGGCGGAGTAGTACAACAGCACATACAGATGCACATGGAGGATATAGCAGTACCCAGGAGCCTGCAGAGGACACCTGGTACCATAGAGAGGATGGAGGACAGAACAAATCAATCAACAACCCCAGCCAAGATTTGGCAGTGAATAGTTGGGCAAATGGAGACTAAGGTGAACTGTGTCAGCCAGTGGATTCTGGAGAGATTTCAACATGACAGGAGTGGCAAAATCAAAACCACTTGAGCAGGACCCTCAGAGCATGCCCCACATCAGTAACCCAGGGTTGGTTGGGAGACTGGGTGTGGCTTTTCTCCTTATCTCTTCCCTCCTCCCAGATACAGGAAGAAAAAAAGAGAATGTCCAAACAATGGTCTAGCCCTTAACCCTTTGTACCATAATCAAATGTCTAAAAATTATCAAAACTAAAATAAAAAGATTTTTAAAGTTGTATCAGTACTGCTGCAAATAGTTTTGTAAAACTGATACCTTTGTCAGATCAATAGTTTCCATAATCTGCGATAATTTTAAAATTTATTGTATATGAGTGCAAAGGTCATTTTACCATTCAATTGTTTACAGCTATTGTCTATTTCTGCCAAAGGTGTTTCTGCTTTTGACTTCTTAAACTTCCTATTCAGTGAAAATATTAAGCATTTTTACTGTGATATAAATTTAAAGTATGTTGTCTCAAAGACTATAAAAAGAAAAAAGAAAAGAAGGAAGCAGAGTGGGAGAAGGGAAGGAAAGAGGAAATGTTCTTAGAATTGTATCTGTAAACCACACTAAATCTATTAAAAATTAATAAAAATTAAAATAAAATACAAAAAAAGAAAAGAATGCACAAAGGGGACCAGTGCTGACATGTGGAGGGCAAAATTTGCCGCCTGTGACACCAGCATCCCATATGGGTGATGGTTCACATCCTGTTTGCTCTACTTCTACCCAGCTTCCAGCTAAATGGCCTGAGAAAGCAGTCAAAGATGGCCTAGGTAAGGCCTGAGCCCCTGAACCCATGTGGGAGATCTGGGAGAAGCCCCAGGCTCCTGGTTTCAGACTGGCCCAGCTCAGGCCATTGAAGCCATCTGTGAGTCAATCAGTGGATGAAAAATCTGTCTCTCTGTGTCTCTCCCTCACTGTTTGTTAACCCTGTCTTTCAATTAAGTTAATTAATCTTTGAAAAAGGATGCAAATAGAAAAAAAAATGGACTAGTATGATTTTGGAGAACAAAATTAAAGGACAGGGTCAAAGTGATCTTAAAATAAATCACTATAATATCTATAGTGATATAATAGCTATAAATATCTATAATATCTATAAATCACTATGCAGATAAGGGAACATCTAGAAAGTAGCAATGCCTAGAACAGAAAGGATAAAATGCTAACGCAAAGCAAATCCCCATCACTTTACCAGTTGAGGGGTCACAGCCCGTGAAGTAGAGAGCTGATCTAAGGCAAGGCCTGGCTCCACTCGGCTTCACATTCCACCCTGGGGGAGCTGACAGGGAGTTGATTATGTGATCACATGCTGATGTCACTGAAAACAGACATTTAAAATGGACTAAACCTGAACCAAAAAATAACATGTTAGATACACTCGTTCATGGGAGAGTGCTAAGAGAATAAGACTGAATTTTTTTTTCTTTCACTCTTAAATCAGTCTCAAATGTCATAACTTTAAAATCATTTGGAAGTTAAATCACTCACAGCTGTTGACAATGTTATGCATGTGTGCGTTCAAAGCAAGGAAAACTTTTCCCCACAAATTTCACAAAAGCAGGATTGCCGCTACCATCTTGCCATCACTCACAAGGAACAAAGAATGAACTTTGTACTTTATTGAATACATTTTAATCCTTCAATGTCAACAAAAACAAGTGAATTTTAAATATCTGATTTTGAGGCACCAGTGGTTAAGGTTGAGGTGGTTTCTCTAGAAGGTTCTCCAAGAGATGCCACTTCTGCACAAAGATGATGAATGCCATCCTCATTCTGGCTCCGTTCCAACGTTTTCTTGATTTATCACATAGCTATAGAACAGAAATTAAAATGAATAATACTACCCAGAAGCGAGTTTGTCAAAATTTTACTCCAAGGAAAATAAATTTCTTACTCCCTCTATTACTAGCTGGGCTACGTTAAAAGCCATATTATCACCAAAAGAAAATTTTTGTCTTTTATTTTTATGAGAAAAATATTTGTATTTAGGCTTACACAGTATTATAAACCTTTTCAGTTAACCCCTCCCCCCCCAAAAAAAGAGAAAAAAATCTTCATTAAAAAAAGTACAAAGGGTTGGCATTGTGGCACAGCAGATAAACCGCCAACTGAAACACTAGTGATCCCGCATGAGCGCCAGTTTGTGTCCTGGCTGTTCCACTTTCTGTCCAATGGCCTAGGAAGGCAGTAGGGAAAGCACAGATGTTTAGGTCTTTGCAACACACTGGACACCAGTGAAAAACTGCTCACTCCTGGCTTTGGTCTGGCTCCGCCCGGTCATTGTAGCTATCTGTGAACCAGCAACAAAAGGTGTCTCTCTCATTCTCTTCTCTCTCCCTCTCTATCTGTATCTCCTTCAAATAAAGTAAATAAACCATTTAAACCACTACTTTGGATCTGGTTTTCTTTAATGAGAGCCTAACTGTCTAGAGAACCAGTATGTTCTAAAAATTTAACTCCAATTACATATACCTAAGAATACTCTGAAATTCACAGGTTTCATGAAAATTCTTGCAAAAAAGGCCTCCAAATTAATAATTTATAGTACATATCATTGAATCAACTAAACCAAAGATGGATAGCCAAAGGAATTTAAAAAAAAGATATAAACATAGCACCAATGCTACTTGCAACTTTCTTTGAAATTAACATTCACTTATCAATGCCCAGTACTCACAAGAACTGGAATTCCTTAAGTCTAGAAAAACTTTCAAGCTTACTAATTCTCTTTTGAATAATATAAATTATAACGATGTGCTGGAAACTCTGACATATATGGTTTAACATTCATGCATTATTTATTCATACCAACAAGCGCTTGAAGAAACTGCACTAAGTTTGTCTCCAGCTACTTTCTGATTTATCCTCAGTTCACCACATGAGAATGACTGTCCTGTCAATTTCTTGATCATAGACATAAGACACCAACATTTTCCTACATCATCTGTAATTTAAATAAAAGAAAAAGATATTCTCCATCTCTAAAGAGACATAGCATTATCATCATGTTGAGTGGGTTTTGAGTGAGTGTTTTTAAAACTGTGTATAAGAATCCTGGCCCAGGAGCACCTAAAGCCCCCCCGTGGGTAAGTACCCGTGGGGGACGGCTGGGAGCTAGGGGTAAAATCCTGGCTCTCCCCTGTCCCCACCAGCCAATAGCTGGTGGCAGGACAGGTAGGGCGGGTCTAGTCTCAGGACAAGGGGCGGGTTTAACCCCCTATCGAGGTGGCACTTGATGGGGGCGCCTCTGCCGGAAGGAACCCTGTCAGGGTCTCAGCCACAACCCCCGTCACAAGATGGGGGCAGAGGCCCAGGCCTTGGGCAGCCAGTGCACCAAGTGGTGCCAGGCTCTGCCTGCTGTCCGCCCAGCGGCGAGCTCTGGGGTTTTTGATGATATGAAAAAGCTGCTTTGGGACACCCAAAAGTAAGACCAGCGTTAGCGTAGGTGAGACACTAATTTCTGGTGATTCCCAGGAACCGAGACATGAAACCTTAATGCATGTGTGGGACTGAGAGCTGAATGTTTGGAGTAAGCAAACCTTAGTCCACAAACATGATTGGAACACAGGGTGCAGCACAGGACATTCCCAGCTTGGTTTTGGCTCCAACTGATCCACATTAAGCACAGAGTTGAGCCACGGTGTCTAAGGCAGGGGTCATGACAGGTGGATGGGGCTGCAGTCAGGTCTGGATACAGTTGTCGTCTCCCTTGGCACAAATGTGGATTGGGAAAGACGTACCGGGCCCGGCCAGACCGTAATACCTTCTGGTGCTTTGGAGTACCAGGGTGGATGTGGGATGGACTAGGCTAGGTCCCAACCTCAACTGAGCCATATACGAGCTATATGGGGGCATGGACTACCGTGGCTGGGCTGAAACACTCTACAGCAAGAACCAGAATGGGATGATGGCCAGTTAGGAAAGGCCACTGTTCCTGCTAGGACAAGAGGCGAACTGGCACATGGACCCTCTGGTATGCATGAAACCTGGCACATGGAGGGGTTCTGATGGAGGAGCTCGGGCAACTCCTCTGGCAGGACATAGACCCCGCAGGTCAGCGCAAGGAACATGGAAGGTAACAGCCAAGAGGTCATAGAAAGTGTCCCACTGGCATGCATTTGGCATGGGTCGGGGGCAGACCAGGCTGAATCTGTTCATGTCATCCACTGGTAAATCTGATCGCCAGAACAGAGTGTGGGTCGAACCAGGTCCGGTCGTGACAAAAGCAACACACAAGTTGGAATGCCAAGGTGAGGTAGCCTGAGCCGGATGCAGCCGCAGCACCCAACTAGCACACGTGAGAACCAGGAAAGGAGGAGGCAGAGCTGACAGGGGAATAAGGGGAGGTTCCCTAGCTGAACAGCAACTTACACTGAGGAGCGTGAGCTGGGTAGGGGGTAGACCAGACCAGGCAGGGACACAGCACCTGTGCACCTCATGTGGACCAGATTGGGTGAAAACTAGGCTGGGCTGACTATTCCCACTGGTGCAAGCTACAATCAGAGTTGGTGAGGGTTGTTGGGGCTTAGTTGTAGCACCAGCTGGCGGAAGCTGGTACAAAGGGTTAGACACGTTGAGTTGAACCACAGGGCCAACTGGAGAGGGCACAACTGGAATGGGAGCGACCTGGGAGGGAAATAGTGGGCTCCTCCCTCGTGGGTCATCACCTTCCACGGGAGGGCATGGGAACTAGGACAGGGGCTGGGGTGGCTAGACAGACACCCAACAATATCCGTTAGGGACGGTAGGAGGAGATGGTTGGATGGAAGTAGGTTGCAACACCTGTTGGTAAGTATATGATCAGAAGGGTATTTGGGACAGACTGGACTAGTATGCCATACATACTGGCAAGCCAGGGTAGGGGGTGGGCCTGGTTGGGGTTACTGTGGGCCGCCCTGACTGGGCTGCAACTCCTACTGGTACGTGCGAGGGACAAGTGCGTCCAGGGCGGAACCAGGCGGGACTGCAAGAGACACGGGTGGAGACAGAACCGACCCAGCAACTGCAACCACCAGCTGATCGGGGCAATGGACTGTGCCGGACCCTATGCTACTAGAACATGCAGGAATCTGGACTGGGAATACCTCAAAATTTCTTTGAGGATCTCCCCATTCGAGACACCGGACTCAGAGTCCTAACCAAGAAAAGACAGAACAAGTCAAGCAACAACCTCAGCTATCTGTTGGCAGCAAAATACTGGGCAAATGGAGACTCTAGAAGGGACTGTGTCAATCAATGGACTCTTCAACGACCACATCGTGCTTGGAGTGGCGAGACTGACAGCGACCCATGAATGGTGAACTATTGGAACCACTCGATCGAGTATCTCAGAGCATGCCCCACATCTGGGACTTAGGGTGGGTGGGAAACTGGGTGTGGCTTCTCCCTCTATATCCCCCTTTAGGCCTTGAACCTTTTTTACCCCAACTGAATTTGTAAGGATTGTCAAAATTAAAAAAATAAAATAAAAAAAAAAACCTGTGTATAAGAATCCTTCACAGGGTGTTACTTTTAATTTTGAAATGCATAAATAAACAAAATTATGATCTACATTTGAAGCTATATATAGTAATGATTTTAAAATGTGTAATATAAGGATTAAGAATTCAAAAATTATAATGTTAAGAGAAATGTGGGGCAGGTGCCTTGGGTCAAGCAGCTAATCTCCCAACTTGAAGAGCCAGCATCTCATAGGGGCACCATTCATGTTCTAATCCCAGTCAGCCCCACTTCCCATCCAGCTCCCTGCCTGTGGCCTGGGAAAGCAGTTGAGGACGGCCCAAAGCCTTGGGATGCTGCATGAGAGACCTAGAAGAAACTTCGGGCTTTGGATTGGATCAGCTCAGCTCTGTTATGGCTATTTGAGGACTGAATCAATGAATGGAAGATCTTTCTCTCTCTCTCTCTCTCCTTCTCTCTGTAAATCTGCCTCTCAAATAAAAATAAACCTTTTTTTTTTTTAAAGATTTATTTTTATTATTTTTTCATTGGAAAGGCGTATATACAGAGAGGAGAGACAGAGAGGAAGATCTTCCGTCCGATGATTCACTCCCCAAGTGAGCGCAACGGGCCGATACTATGCCGATCCGAAGCCAGGAGCCTCTTCCGGGTCTCCCACACGGGTGCAGGTTCCCAAAGCTTTGGGCCGTCCTCGACTGCTTTCCCAGGCCACAGGCAGGGAGCTGGAAGGGAAGCGGGGCTGCTGGGATTAGAACCGGCGCCCATATGGGATCCCGGGCGTGCAAGGCGAGGACCTTTTAACCACTTGCGCCACCGTGCCGGGTCCAAAATAAACCTTTTTTAAAAAAGAGAAAGTTAGTGTTGCACAATGAGGTATTACAGTAGATTGGTTTAACTCAACACCCTTTATTATGTATTCCTGTATCAAAGAGGTGGGAAAGTCAAACTCTATAAAGTATTTCCCTCCCTTGTAGCTGGGGATTCTGACGGAACTGGTCTAATCAATCAGGCATACTCACTTGAGACTTCACTCAGTGCCGAGATGCATCAGGAAAGAGACAGGACATGAGGTATCCATCTTGAGTTGCACAAGCGTGGCAGAGGTGCTGCAGTTCTGGAGCTGGCAACTGTTCATGTCTTCCTCTGGCAGGCAGCTTCTTGGTCGATTCAGAGACAGCACTTCCTCAGGCAGTTCACTCTTACAATGCAGCTCCTAGAAGCTCAGCCTGTGTCTATTTTTCCCCATCCTACCTAGATTCCTTAACCAACCTCTTTCTGTTTAAGGAAACATAAGGATCTTCTTTAAGAAGATCCTGTTACCTCCAACCAAGAATCTTGACTTGTACAAAATTAGATAACTAGAAGAAAGGTACAGAAAGTGCTAAAGGACTTAAAATGGTGTGGTTCACTTAACTGAGGTAACTGGTGTTTGGGCAATGAGACTGAGGACAAGGTATCAGAGAAAATGGTGAGAATACACTAGCTGCTTCTTGTCACTTTCAGCAAAGTCTTACAAGAGAAATGCGACTCAAGCCAATGTTAATTCTACAAAGATGGAAGGCAATATAACTTTGCCAAAGGATTTGCTCTCTGCTGACAACAAAAACTGACAAAAATCCCAAATCATGAGCCTTGAATAATTTAAAATCAAGGCTCTGCTACTCCAACCTGAAACAGTCTTAAGGCTCTGAGGAAGCTGTTAAATCCTTGTCACATTTTCTCAAGAACCTTCGCTTAACAATTTTTGGTCAAGTAACAGAAGCCATCCTGGAGCAAAGACCAGTCCAGACCATCCCCATCCAAGCCAAGTCTAGAGTCTGAAAGCTCTCAGGTAGGTACTGTGTGTGTCCATTCTGGACACAGAGGCCAGCAGGGGATTGACAGGGTTCTTGGTTTAAAATGATGTGATTTAAACTACATTAAAAAGATGTCTTTGGGGACTAGCACTGTGGCATATAGCACATTAAGCTACCACCTGCAGTGCCAGCACCCATCATGGAGTATTCCATTTTTGATCCAGCCTTCTACTAATGTGCCTGGGAAAGCAGTGCAAGATAACCCATGTGCTTGGGTCATATTACAGACCTAGGGGAAACCCAGAGATCCCAGCTTTGGCCTGGACCACCCCACTGGAGCCACTTCAGGAGCAAGCCAGTGGATAGAAAATCTCTCTTCTCTCTCTCTGCCTCTGCCTTTGCCTCTCCCTCTCTATAACTTCACCTTTCAAATAAATACATCTTTTTAAAAATTAAAAATTTTAAAAACTGTGATTATTTACAAAAATGATTGAAGAAGACAGTTTGGAAGCTTACTAAATTTTAAGAATTCACTTGGCCAAGAAACAAAACAATAATACAGATCCAGAAGTGGCTTGTAACAGCCTGTAGCTGCTAACAGGACCACAATAACAGGAAGTGAACTTCTAACACTGTCCAGCCTATAAGAAGGGCCTATATTTAACACATGAGTCAGATGACAAAAAAAGATGTTTACTATGTGGAGAAAATTTCAGAAGAATGAATCAGGGACAGAAAATATCATACCAAAGGATGATTAGTAGCAAGCAGTACATTTTGATTTTGATGAAACAGTAATCACTATTTTTGAATTTTCCCCAAAATTCAACTTGAATTCAGTTGTCCTACACCTAACACATGATTCATGTGATGCTCTTGGGACAGAGAAGTTGTTTTTAGACTGTAGGAGACCATCCTTAACATGCTGGATAGGATGACACCTAGATAGTATGAGCTTCGTGCTCATGTGTGGTGATGGAGTAGACTTTGGATGGATCCTCTTTGGGATGGGACGAGTGAGTGCTGAGTATCAGAAGCATTTCCATAAACAGTCAAGCAGCCAGTGAGGCTGACTGGAGTGAAAACACTGAAGTCTGTCTACCCATATCCCCCCTCTCTCCTTAGTAAAGCCATCCTAGCTTTTAGATGGACACACAGAATTCTCTCCTAGGTTCAGGCCTGAAGATGAAATTCAGTATTGCTGCTGCTTCTGGAGAGTTATCTCAAGAAAGTAGCTGAGTCCCCTGGGTTTTGCCCTTCCCCACCACCTCCAGAAACAAGCCTGGACCACAAGAGTGAAGCAAAGTTGAAAACCAAGCCATGCGCCAGGCTCACACAACCCAGACACCCCTACTTCCAGATCTCTGTTATGCCGAAGGAAACAACTCCCCTGTAGTTTAAATCACTTTTATCTTTGGTTTTTCTGTTAGGTGTAGCATAACCTAACCTTATATAATAAAGTATAGAGTAAAAATGTGAAAGAAAGATGACCTGAAGTGGTAACAAAAGTTTTTCAGAATCTGTAGCACAGAAGGCTGCTACACTAAGGAACATTTTCCAGGGAGCACTAGGGAATAAACATTTTTTTTTTTCCAGAATTGTCAATACCAAAAAGACATTATTGAGAGAGATGATAAGCACCCATGAAAGAATATTTATCTTTGTGAGTGAGCACTATTTATTTTAAAAGCAACCGGCAGAGCTTTCTCACTTACTGCTGTTTCCCCTTAACACGGCATAAAGCCACTTAATCAAATCACTAAAGGAAAACAAAGAAAAAAAAAAAAAGAAGGTATAAACATGACTTTGTTTTTTTCTTGATCTGGTAAAATTCAAATCTTACATATCTATATCCAAAGAAATACATGCTTGTTTCAAAGGCACTTTCCTTTATTCAAAAAATGCTTTAAAATATTACTTGAGCAAAGAAGAAGAACAGGACATAAAAAGATGAATCAGATGTTAACAGCTTTCTTTCAAGTTCTGACTGACTTTGGACTTCAAATGTCTATTCAAAAAAATAGTCTTGGCCCAGCACAGTAGCCTAATGGCTGAAGTCCTCAACTAGCATGTGCCGGGTTCCCATACGAGCGTTGGTTCTAATCCTGGCAGCCCCACTTCCCATCCAGCTCCCTGTTTGTGGCCTGGGAAAGCAGTCGAGGATGGCCCAAAGCCTTGGGATCCTGCACACATGTGGGAGACCCGGAAGAGGCTCCAGGCTCCTGGCTTTGGATCAGCTCAGCTCCAGACATTGTGGCCACTTGGGAAGTGAATCAGCAGACAGAAGATCTTCCTCTCTGTCTCTCCTCCTCTCTGTATATCTGACTTTTTAATAAAAATAAATCTTTTAATATATATATATATAGTCTCATTTTAAAGGTATTTTCCTTTACTCTGAATAATTTTTACATATATATATAATATCCAATTTAAAATTATACTTAGCTAGTCACATATAATCAGTTTAAAAAGATATTCTCTGCTATGATGACTATAATTGACTACAAAGAATTATGAGTAATGCTGAAATAATTCCTTTCACCACAAATATGGTTATCACATTATGTAGTATTGGAAATGGTTGATACATAAAAATTTTGAAAGGCTCTTTTGATTTTTCTATATTGCAAATTTTTCTGTTTCTATGAGTATATACAAAATAATACAAACCTTAATGATTTGAAATTGAATTACATTTATAGAAATAGGAAGTTAAATTTACAATGGTTTATTTTCTCATACTTATATACAAGAAAACAAAGTTACATACGTGGCTCAAACTTCAATTCTCCATTTGGTCCTGATGGAGGAGTTCCTTGTTGTAATTTCTTTTGTTCCATCTGCTGTACAACCTGGTGAATGGAAAAAGACTTAAAATTAAATTTCGCTTTTTAAAAAATATTTTTTTTGAAAGGCAGAGTTACAGAGAGAAGGAGAGACAGAGAAATGTTTAATCTGTTGATTTTCTTCCTAAATGGCCACAATGGCTGCAGCTGAGCCAATCCCAGGCCAGGAGCCAGGAGCTTCTTCTGGGTAAACCACATGGGTGTAGGAACCCAAGGACTTAGCCATCCTCCACTGCTTCCCCAGGCCGTAATCATGGAGTTGGATCAGAAGTGGAGCAGCCAGGACTTGAACTGGCACCCATATGGGATGCTGGCACTGTAGGTAGAAGCTAAGCCTACCGCATCATGGTGCCAGCCTGTCTCCTATCTTAAGAATGACCTTTGATAACGTATATGAAATTACTATATGAAATTATATGAAATTATTTTCTAAAATGAATATATTCAAACTCTTAAAAATTGAAATTAGTAGTGAACAAAGCATTTTACCAAATGCCATGATTTAAAACAGCAGAGGCACTTACTCTGGAGATTACAACATAGCTAGGGATGCCGGAATCCCATACTGCACTGCTTGGATTGTCACAGCTACATTCCAATTCCAGCCTCCTGCAAATATGTGTCCGAAGAGGCAACCGGTGGGAACCCAAGTAACTGGGTTGCTGCCACCCGCCGAGGACACCTGACTGTGCTCCCAGCTCCTGACTTCCTTCAGGTCCAGCCCTGACCATTGCAAGTGAATTGGCTGATGAGAGCTCTGACTCTTGCTCTTTCTGTCTCTCTCAAACTCTTTCTCTGCTTGTCAAATAAAGTAATTAAATAAAATGCTATTAGCTCATAGTAACTTGAAATACTACACTGCAAAGCACAGGTCTTCAGCAAAGCATCCAGTATCCGGCTTATGCCAGGATCCCTTTGCCAGAAACGACCTGATGGTACTCCTGCTTCTGCGCCTGAAGCTGGTCGTGCTGACGTTGGAGCTCTTCTTTTTGTTTCTGAAGCTCATCTGCTTTCTTCTTCAGTTCATTTTCTTGTAAAGAGATCATTTTTTCATACTCTTTTAGTTCTTCTTCTGTAAAGAATTGTTGCTGATCCAATGTCTAAAAGAAAAAAAGAAGAAATGAGGATTAAAAAGAAGTTAGGAAGAAAGAAAAAACTAATGAAGTCCGAGTCAGCTTCCAAATCCTGTGATTAGTCAGGAGCCAGGCACATCACCCAGGTCTCCCATGTAAATGGCATCTTTTGCTGCTTTCCCAGGTACAGTATCAGGAAGCCGGACACAAGGTGAAAAGCTGAACTCAAATCATTGAAGTCTGATTCAGCTTCAAAATTCCATGATCAATTCTATAATATTAAACCTTTGTGTAAGAAAGGGGAAATAAGTAAGCATATATTCACGTATTTATTTACAAAGAAAGGACCAGGAAGGACAATCTAGAGACTACTGAGATTAGGATGAGGACAGCATTGTGGTACAATGCTTTAAACTGTTGTTTTTGACACTGGCATTACATTTTGGAATAGTGGTTCAAGTTGTAGCTGCTCTACTTCAGGTGCAGCTCCCTAGCAGGCCTGTGAAAGCCGTGGTGGATGCCCCAGTACTTGTGCCCTGCCACGGACCCAGGAGATCCAGATGGTGCTCTGGCCCACAGCTCTAGCCTAACGTAGCTTTGGCTGCTGTAATCATTTGGGGAGTGAATCAACAAACTGAATAAAACCTATCCTTCTCTGTGTCACTGTGGCTTTGATAGAAGTGTGAAAATAAATCTTTAAAAAATAAACAAAAGCTAACAGAAGTAAGTGAGAAAAGAATAAAATTTCTCTGCTTCTTTCTTGGTACAGACTGACTTTTTGGAAACTGATTATTGCTTCACACACTAACAAAATCAAATAAGATCCACAGGACAGGAAAACCTCAATATCTGAACGTAAAAATGGAAGCAAATAAATAATACCTTTATTTCAAATGAATAAGATAACTCACAAAAGAAGATGGGGAAAAGGGACCAATTTAAGGCACTTTTGCTCATAGTATTTGTACTATATGCCCTCAGATTAAAAAGTTTAAAAAAGCTTACACAAATAGTAATTCTTACTTTTGTATCATAAGTTTTGCAACTCTTCGTAAATCTAGGATGGAGCAAATATGCAAAATATTTTTGTGGATAATAGGATTAAGTTTTACATGAAATATAGAAAGAGTAAAAGAATGTTATGTTACAATCTGAGATGTCGAACTGAAATGAGGGATATTGGTTATTGCACTCGTGAATTATGATAAATGTTTTTTTTTTAAAGATTTTTTATTTTTATTGGAAAGGCGGATATACAGAGAGGAGAGACAGAGGGGAAGATCTTCCATCCGATGATTCACTCCCCAAGTGAGCCGCAACGGCCTATGCTATGCCTATCCGAAGCCAGGAGCCTCTTCCGGGTCTCCCACACGGGTGCAGGGTCCCAAAGCTTTGGGCCGTCCTCGACTGCTTTCCCAGGCCACAAGCGGGGAGCTGGATGGGAAGCGGGACTGCTGGGATTAGAACCGGCGCCCATATGGGATCCCGGGCATGCAAGGCGAGGACCTTAACCACTTGCGCCACCGCGCCGGGCCCAATTATGATAAATGTTGATAAAAGTTGCAAGGTATACACAAGGTATATATTAGTAAATATGTTTAAGTGTGCATCATAAATGTATATGCACATACAATGCAGACATTAACATGACAGATACTAGTTACACAGCAAATATTTGCATTTATTATTTATATATTATTCATATTATATATTTTTTCATTCCTTATTTCTGTCATCTGAAAGGCCTTGGAAGCTATGACAATCCAGTAGCAAGGGACACACTGAGGGCTCAGATTTGGGTCTGTAAAATCAATCTCTATAGCTCCTAGGAAAAATGGTTGATTCCACAGGTGGGACAAATAAAGAACAAGATGAACTTTGAACTTATTTTACTAAAAGTAAGGACATCCTCAAAGAATGACAGAGATATTAAAGTGCATAAAAGTCAGTTCAAAAAAACTCACACTGGCCAAACCTGGGGCCATCTGAGCATGGGGATAAATGCTAGCAAAGGATTAGAGTTCACCGACTAAAATAGACACGTGGCAAAGGCTAGCTTTTCCTTGCAGTGGAAAACCAACGGACTGTGACACAAGCAAGATGAGATCATCATGTCACCACAGTGACAACTGATTCTGGCCAGCACCATCAGTGCAGGCTGTTCTCAAAGTATAATCTCACAATGTGCGCTTTTTTTTAAACAAAAGTATATTCATTTTCTATTGAATGGTACAATGCTTCGGAAAAGCACTTCTGTAAAACAACTCTACACTCGTGAAAAGTTTTGCTCATAAAAATGTATTTATAATGACATGATGTCTTTTAAAAACCATTAAACTGGGAATAATCTATATATCTAACCTCGAGAAAATAATTATGTATTCACATAGCTAGAAAAGCAATGCTTCAGGGGGACGTGACCCCTGGCAACATGGCTGCTGCCAGGGCCCCCAGGCTCGGCCAAGTTCGTCTCCCGGAATGCAACCAGCAGTCTTCACGCCCACTCGGAAGGCTGCTTCGGGGAGGCTGGACCCCCCACGCATGGCCCTTTCGGGCCTAGCGTGGGAGCACAGGTACAGCTAGCCGACACTCGGGCCGGTGGCGCTAGGGGCGTGGCTAGACCCAAGCCCGGGCCGGGAAGAGGGGCGGGGCTGACGCTCGGGGACGTGACCCCTGGCAACATGGCTGCTGCCAGGGCCCCCAGGCTCGGCCAAGTTCGTCTCCCGGAATGCAACCAGCAGTCTTCACGCCCACTCGGAAGGCTGCCTCGGGGCAGCCAGTGCGCCAGTTGGCGCCACGCTTTGCCTGCTGGCCGCCCGGCCAGGGAGCCCTGAGAAATTGGTTCTCTATGCTGCTCAAGACGGCTTCATGCTGAAGCTATAGCATTTTGGGGACACCAAGCAATCCTAAAGATTTCCAACGGCTGTAAATCTCCCTCAGACGAATCTACTGCTATCATGGTTTCACCCCATAAGTTCCGAATGATTGTAACTCCCAATATAATGTCAATTCCTTACGATACACAGTAACTGGGTGGGAACACAGAGAAATCTCTCATTTCCCTTGAAAAAGCTAGGAATCCATGTAGTGTAACCTGCAGGAACTAGATAAGTATCTTAAAGTTGATAGATCCAGACCAGCATTAGACAACAGCAAAAGCTATAATGACACACAGGGGAATTAGGAACAACCCAAACAGTCTATTAACAAGTGGTCATATGCACAGAATAGGGGAGAACCCCAGAGCGGAACAGAGGGACTGGAGGAGGCCTATCCCCCACCCATAAGGACTCCCGGACTCCCACCAAGGTCTATCAGAACGGACACAAGAACGTCAACGCAACTGCCAAAGAGAACACGGGGATCTGGAATGCCTCCGAATGCCGTGAACCCAGATGACAGACACCCCCTCTCTTTGGACCAACTACACGAGATGGAAGAAGCCCGAGTCCTTCCACATAGGAACCAACGACATCAGAACAACAACTAGGAACCACGATTGCTCATCAGAACCAGAAGATCAATAAACTTCTGGCGGGACAGTGGGGGAGGAATCCTCTCCAGTCCTTATCTAGTTTCAGCTCTGGGCCTCCACCCTCTATAATGACCAACAAGGCTCCTCCTAAACCCCCCTCCCCCACTACACACACACACACTTACACACACACTCATATACACACACTAATAGGATGAGATAACCAAAGAACAATAAAGATAGGTCATCAAGGACTCACTCATATACTATTAGATGGAACATAAACAAGTACTCATTAGCAAGGTATGAGAGATTTCTCTGCAACACCCCCCAAAATCGTTACACACCTCAATTGAAGAGGTGACATTGAAACAGTTGTAGAAGGTAATCAAGAACTTACATGTAATTTTTACATATTGTCTACTCAATACTATGTCAGACATCTAATGTTTGCCTGGATTTAACCTGTAATTTATGCTTGGTTGATTGTTACTTTTTGAACCTGTCACTGATACTGTCTAAACCAAGAGGTGTGGAAGAATTGAACTTTTTTTTTTTTTCTTTTAACATATTGTTCACTCAACACTATACCAATTAATCCCATAACATTGTATATCGACGCTGATGTTTTGTTGGGGGTTTTAACTGACTGGAACTTTACTCTGTTAGCTCTACCTTCAGACCAGAGAAGGTCTCCCCAAGAGGCCACTGAACTTATCTGGACAATAAAACGCTGGACTTTATGCTAGGTACATGCTCACAATGAAGGAATTTCAACTGAACTTGAACTGTGGTTATGCAGCAAGATGGAGCAATCCACTATGGGAGGAGGGGTGTGGGAGGGGCGGGGGGACTCCCCAGTGCTTATAAATCTGTTTCACATAATACAATGTTAATAAAAAAAAAAATTCAAAAAAAAAAAAAAAAAGAAAAGCAATACTTCAGAAAATGCTTTTTATTATGCTGAGTGGATCTTTTTTTAAAGCTGATTTGGAGTTCTGGTTTAAAGATGGGCTAAAACACACATTTTTTTAAATCACAAGAGGCAAAATAGTGACAATTATTAGGTCAATTAAAAAACATTGATTTTTAAGGGATCTTTTTAAAAGATTCATTTATTTTTGGAAAGCCAGACTTACAGAGAGAAGGAAAGACAGACAGGAAGATCTTCCACTGCTGGTTCACTCCGTAAGTGGCCACAACAGCCAGAGCTGAGCTGATCTGAAGCCAGGAGCTAGGAGCCTCTTTCAGGTCTCCAACACAGGTACAGAATCCCAAGGCTTTGGGTCATCTTCTACTGCTTTCCCAGGCCACAAGCAGGGAGCTGGATGAAAAGTGGAGCAGCTGGTACACAAACGGGCACCCATATGGGATCCCAGCACAAGCAAAGCACGGACATTAGCCATTAGGCTACCATGCCGGGCCTGAGATTTTGGGTCATCTGCTTTCCTAGGCTATAAACAAGGAGTTAGATGGCAAGTGGAGCTGCTGGACATGAACTGGTGCCCTTTTTGGATGACAGTGCTTGCAGGAGGAGAATTAATTAATCATTATTGAGCTGTCATGCTGACCTCTACATAATATTTTAAAAGGCAAAACAGCAAGTTTACAATAGGAATATCTGGTAGACGCTGCCTTAACCACACAATCAAACCTAACAGTGTCAGCTACGGGCCACATCAAAGCATGTGCCTACAGACACCATCCACCGAGTGTCTCTTCTGTACTGTCCAAGGGATATTCTGCCACACAATTGGCCTGATCTCTTTAAAACATCAATGCCAGGAAAAATACATGAAGACCGAGGAACTGCTTTGGATTACAGGGGACTAAAAAGACACTGCAACTCACTTCAATACTGACATGGTCTTTCTTTTGTTACAAAGAATGTCCCTCAGGAGATTGACAAAAACCAATGAAGTCAATGGGAGAGGAGTATGCTGTGTGTATTGGACATTTTACTATGATTAGGAAGACAAATCTTTATTGGCAAGAAATGTACACTCTAGTATTAGGGTGAGAACAGCATCATGTGCAATTTACTTTTAAGCAGCTCAAAAAAATTATATATACATCTATGACATCAGCATACACTTAGACATATATAATTACATGGTAACACACACAAAGAAAGAGATTAACAAGAAATAGAAAGAAAAAAGAAAGACAAAGCAAATGTAGTAAAATGGGCAATTTTGGTGAAGAGTTATTTATGAATTCCTAGCCTATTCTTTTAACTCTGAAATTATGTCAAAATTTAAAAGTACATAATTATTTATTGACCTTCTAGTTTACTAGATACACTAAAGAGAAGGCAGATTCATATAATCTTAGCATTCTTAATCAACATCCAGAAATATTTCAAACATTAAACAAAAACTCAAATGAGGCAGTGGGAGTAAGAGGGGAGCTGGTGTTATGGTGTAGCAGCTTTAGGTGTTACCTTCAACTCTGACAATGACACATCGGTGCTAGTGCAAGTCCCAGCTGCTCCAGTTACAATGGAGTTCCCTGCCAGAGCCTGGGAAAAGCAAATGGCCTCCTGCTACTCACTTGGGAGACCTGGACTGAGTTCCACACTCCTAGCTTCAGCCAAGCTCAGCCACAGCAGCTGCAGGCATTTGGGGAGTGAACAGTGCATGGCAGTTCTCTCTCTCCCTCTCATATAAATAAATGTAAACAAGTTAAATAAAATACTCCATTGTTAGAAAAAAAATACCCAAAACAAAAGCAGGCTGGTCCTAAACGAAAGCAGCCAACTGTCCTCAATTTTAGAACTTTTCAGTTTTAGAACTTTTCAGTTTTAGAAGTGAACATTTCCAGAGTCGGTGCAGTGACATGCACACTAAGCCCCTACCCTGTGGTGCCAGCAATCCATATGGCCACCAGTTCATGTCCTGGCTGTTCTGCTTCCCATCCAGCTCTCTGCTTATGACCTGGAAAAGCAGTGAAGGCTGAGCCAAGTACTTGGGCCCCTGCTCCCACATGGAAGATCTGGAAGAGGTGCCTGACTCCTGGCTTTGGATCAGCTCAGTCCTGGCCACTGTGGCCATTTAGGGAGTAACCAGAAGGAAGATCACTCTGTCTCTCCTTCTCTCTGTAAATGCCTTTCCAATTAAAGTAAATGAAATTATTTTTTAAAAAATAAAACATTTTTATTTTATAAAATAAAATAAAAAATAAAAATATGTTTTTTAAAATGTTTTTTAAATATGTTTAACAAAATGTTTTAAAAAATAAAACATTTATTTTATGGGGATCTCTAAGTTCTAGGTAAACCAGCAAAGTTGGTCTCTCTATCTCATACTATTTTTAGCACAACTGAAAACCTAACTTAAATACAGTCTATTCATTTTTATGTAGAAGACAATATTCTTGCTTTAATGTTATTATTCTTTTAAAGTTGTGAATGCATTTATTTAGAGCTGACTATGATATAAACTGCATAATCTTCTGGAGCAATTTATAAGATATATTGATATATGATGAAATAGTACATATAATCACATAAAAATACATATAGTGAAAGATCATAATTATAATTAAGATATAATGAAAAACATTTTTAAATATGTCCAGTTTTGACAATGGCTTTATTCCTGAGATTTAACCACAGGTATCACATGGGACTGGCACCATGGCCTAGCAGCTAAAGTCCTTGCCTTGAATGTGCCGGGATCCCGTATGGGCGCCGGTTCTAATCCCAGCAGCCCCACTTCCCATCCAGCTCCCTGCTTGTGGCTTGGGAAAGCAGTTGAGGACAGCTGCACCCATGTGGGAGACCTGGAAGAACTCCTGGCTCCTGGCTTCGGATTGGCTCAGCTCCAGCCATTGCAACTGCTTGGGGAGTGAACCATCAGACAGAAGACCTTCCTCTCTGTCCTCCTCTCTGTGTATCTGCCTTTCCAATAAAAAATAAATAAGTCTTAAAAAAAAAAAAGGAATCACATATATTGCCCACAAATGTGTACAAATAAGTGGGTGGTCATCACAGAGTTATCTACTACAGTAGAATAGTGGAATTTACCTAGAACATCTATATCTAGAGGAATGAAGCTATAAATCATGCCATACCTATACAACTGCGTGTGTAGTATCTCTTAAATACTTTTGAAGAATGAAATTGGAAAATGTTTACAAAAGATATTAAATTTTAAAAAAGCATTTCATGAACATGCAGAATCATTTATACAATGTGGAGCCATTTTTAAAAGCATAAATATGAATATACATGCATTTTTTAAATGTGGGATAACACACTGCTCGCTTATTTAAGGTGTGTCATACACACATGCACATAATATAAATGCAAAGTGAATTCTAATCCAAATTGGCATAATGTAATGCATAAAATATATAGTCTCCTTCTGAGGAGTAGAATTAACTTCTAATTTATTCTTTAATAGTACTTATACCTGTAATTTTCAACAATGAAAACTATTTTATAGTTGGAAAATATATATCTTTTAAAAGTTTCCCAATTATATACAGTTGATTACAAATAAGCTATCAACTATTACAATCTTTCCAAGAAATTAAGTTCATTATTTTATACAGGTTGAGTAGCACTTATCTGCAATGTTTGGGATTTGAAGTATTTCAGATTTCAGGTCTTTTCTGATTTTGAAATCTCTGCATATACAAAATAAAATATCTTGGGGATAGGATCCAAGTATAAAGATAAAATTGATTTATGTTTCATCACCTTATGCATAGATCCTGAATATGATTTTATTCAATGTTTTTAGTGTACCTGCATTTTGATAGGAGGTCAAGCATGGAATTTTCCTTGTCTGCTATCATGCTCAAAATGGTTTTGGAACATTTCAGATTTTCGATTAGGAATGCTCAACTACAGTGACATTTCCATTTCATTTAGAAAGCCAAAACAGACATACAACATAATGGGGGACAACAAAACTTAAAACAAAACTTAAAAAAGTCTGATGTAGAATTTCTTGAACCATCCAACCCCTTTGAAGTAGGTTCTATTACCTCCCAGCTGTCTGGTTCCAAGAATTCTTTTTTCTCTGTAGCCTTCAAAAACTCTTCCATAGTCACTAATCGGTCTTTGTTAGTGTCAACCTGATTGAAGGAAAACACAAATGTCAGACAGAATAAATCTAACTTCCATTCCTTACACACTAGTAACTGTCTTCTAACAGATGTTACTACACGAACACATAGCCATTAGGACTCACCTAACACCCACAGAAACTAGAGGAAAAAATATACAACGCTCAACACCCTAATAGAATCAGAAAAGATATGTTTCTCTTCTATACAATTCGATTTGGAAGATAAAAAGATACCTAAATATTTGATCATCACATTTGAGTCAGCTGATCAAATTGGCTGTGCCAACACTGTTTTTTTTCTCACTATAATAAGTATAATCTTTCAAAGGCAGATGTTTGGGCATGAAAAACAACCATTCCAAAAGAGAAACTGCTTTTTTCAAGTTTGAAGTGTAAGGAGAAGATATGGATCATACAGCAAGAGGAAATGCCAGATAGAAGTGTGGAACTTAGGGAAAGCAGAGAGCTGGAGACAAACATCTTTTTTGTTTTAGTTTACTAGCATGTAGCACATACATTAAGACCCAGGAAATGGTCAGTGTGGACTCACACATACCTTACTAGGTAGGACACAAAGATTAGTTACTCCTCACTAAGGTATTGAAGATTTCTCTGCACACCCCTCCTGAAACTGCTCTGTACCTAAACTGTTGACGTATGCCTTGTTAGAGTTATAAGCCAGTTTAGACTATCCTAAAATCTGCCAAGTTCAGCAAAATCATGCTTTAACACTATAAACTGCTAAATACTAAAATGAAAATAGACAGGAGACAGCTGAATAGTACTCTACAACCATTTTAAGGTGTCAATGAACTAGTCACAGGAAGTGGTTAAGAACTTGCATTTTTTTTAACATATTGGTTACTCAATACCATGTCAAATAATTCCATAATGTTGTAAATTGTTATTGATGTTATGTTGTGGCTTTTAATTGATCGGGATGATGTTCTGCCAGCTCTGCCTTCAGACCAGAAATGGTCTCCCCAAGGGACCGTTGAATTTATCTGGACAATAAGATGCTGGACTCTATGCTTGGTATATGTTTGCAATGAAAGAATCTTGACTGAATTTGAACTGTAACACAGCAACAAGGTGGAGGAATCCACCATGGGGGCAGGGTACGGGCAGGAGTTGGAGGAATCCCAGAGCCTATGAAACTGTGTCACATAATGCAATGTAATTAATAAATTTTAAAAAAAAGACCCAGGCAACTACAATGTCACCTAGGGAAAGAATTAAGGAAGTGAGAAGGCTAAGCCAAGAGCACTGTGACACTGAGAACTTAGGAAGAAGAGGGACAGTCAGCAAAAGAGAACTGGGAAGATTGGGTGTGTGACACATGAGGAAACAAGGAGCTCTGGTGTTCCAAAAGTCAGGTGAAGGATGTACTTCAAGAACAAGGGAAGCAGTCACCGTGTCCAACACAGGTTAAGAAGTCAAGGAAGGGGGGCATCTCATGCCTGGATCCCAGACGACAGCCACCAGACGTGCATGTGGTGAGCTGTCCCCGGGCCTGCCTGGGCTCTGGGCGTTGCTCCCTTCGGAGTGAGTACACCGAGGGGGGAAGTATCTGTGACTGGGCAGGTTCAGGGCCCACCGGCCACCCTCACTGAGTGGTGAATGGGATGGGGGAGGGACACGACCTTGGGCCTGGGGGTTTAAACTTCCAGCAGCCTCCTGGCCAGACTTTGCCAGAACCTGGCCTAAAACCCAATGACATGTATGAGAACTAGGTCTGGGAGTGGATTAAGTAGAAGAAATTGGGAAACTCCCCTGACGAGTCATAGCTGCCGCTGGTGAACATGTGGTTCAGACCTGGGGGTCGGACAAGCTGGGCATAGTAGCTCCAACAGCTGGCTAATGTGTCAATTGGTAATGGAACAGGGTGGACTGGGCAGGACTGAGCAAACACTATGCAACCACCTGCTGATTGGACTGATGGACCGTGCCGGGCCCTGTATTTGCTAGTACATACAAGAATCTGGTCTGGGAACACCTCAGAAAAAGTTTCTTTGGAGATTTCCCCAATCAAAATGCTGGACTCAGAACCCTAACCAAGAAAAAACAGAAGACAGAAAAGGTCAACCAACCATCTCAGCTAAATGTTGGTAGCAAAATACAGGGCAAACAGAGACTCTATGATGGACTATGTCATTTAGTGGATTTTTCAAAGACCTCATAGTGCTTGCAGTGGCAAGATTGGCAGCATTCATAACTGGTGAACCATCAAAAACACTTGAACAAGAACTTCGGAGCACGCCCTACATCTGGAACCTGGGGTGGGTGGGAAACTGGGTGGGCCTTCTCCCTTAATACCCCCCTTTAAACATGAAGGAAACATGGAAATAATACTCTTATCCATTTTCCTATAGCCCTTGAACCTTTTTACCCTAATTAGCTATGTAAAGATGGTCAAAAATATAATAATTAAAAAAAAAGAAGTCAAGGAAGACGAGTCCATTGAACATGACAAGATGGAGGATCCTTGGAAGGTGAAGTTTCAAAGGAATGGTGGAGGCAAAGCCACATTCAGTACAGACCAGGGGGAAAATGAAAGGTGCAGAATAACAGGGAGAGGAAGACTAGGCAACTTGATACAAAGTTTGAAAGGGACCAGAAGAGTGCAGAGTAACTAGAGATTTTGTAAGGAAGAAGACATTAGAGCATGTTTTCTGCTTAACGAGAATGATTCTATATAGTGAAAATGCTGATGCAATAGTGTTAGGGGGAGGACAACAGCTGGGAAAGTTCTTGAATAGAAGATTTAGAATGGGATCTAATGCAGAAGTGCAGGAAAGGGCCTCCAATAGGAAGAGCAATAGTGTATCTGGGAATAGAAGGCAAGGCAAAACAAAGGCATTGACAGACAGATTGGTGGGCAGATTTAGTAGTAGGAGGATGAAGTAACTCCCTTGATTGAATTTATTTTCGCAGTAGAATCAGAATCAAGGACAGAGGAGACAGAGGAAATGGAAGTGTCATAAGGTAAAAGGAGAAGTGAAAGACTGAGAAGTGAGGAAGTGAGCAGAGGGTGAGCTGACAACAAGCTCCTGTGACTGATGTGGAGTCCACAGCCCAGTTAGTCTATTCCCCAGGTTCATCTCTAGGACACATTCCACTGCTTCAAACAGAACAGGGTGATTCACTCAGGAGTCAACACAATGTGCTTAGGTCATCATCACTTCTTTTTGCAAAGGGCACCACTTATGGCCTTTTGAACAAGTAGCACGCATCATTGTTTGGAGATCCAAGAAGTAGGAGAAAAAATTGAGTTGGATAAGCCAAATTGCAAAAATGATCAGTTTCTTTGATAAGGACAGGCACTAAAATGCTAGGACTCTGTGACACTTCAGATTATTATTTCCAAGTTATTGCTCCCTTCTGTAATAGGCTCATGCACCCCACCTACAATCACATAATTAGCTGGGACATCCCTTGGGAGGTACACATCCTTCTGCTTTAGCCACAGAAATTTAAGGGGATGTACGTCAGCTGGCCACAGTTGGGCCTAAGTCTTAAATACTATGGCATGATTTGGCTTAAGTCAATCACATCTCTGATGGTACCCTTAGGGATTACTTCTAGAAATTTCAAGGTCAGCCACAATAGTACCTGGCAAAGCCAGCCTAGCTCTACAACACTTAAATGCTGTCAATTCCTAAAGCTCAGGAGACACCAACAAGAAATAAATATTTGTTACCACAGTCTATTAAGGTATTGGGATTTGGGATTTATTTTAAAGACTAACAGGTTTTTAAAGTACCAAATACAGAACTTTAGTATTTCTCACTGTCAAAAAATGTTTTTGTCTGATAGACAGGCACATCTTAAGCTCTTTAAATATTTTTAAATTAATGATAACATTTTTATACTAAGGGACTCTAGAATAACATTCTGGATCAAAAATGCAAAATTCAGTTAAGTATCTGGAGTATGCATTTATTTTTCATCCTATTATAAGATTCATGGCAAAAACTTGAATAATCACTAGAAAGAACATAAAATTTTAAAACATACCTCATTCATTACATGTTCCCTCATCCTAAGCCTTTCTTCTTCCATTTCTATCATATCATCCTCTTCATTTTTAGGATCATACACTTTCTCCAACTAAAATGAAAATTTTAAAACCAACATGAAAGAAAAGAATGCAACAGAAAGAGACTTCTGAGTACCTGATAAACACATTACCTCTTTAGTAAACAGGGCTTCTAATTCTTGTTCATCCAGGTAGCCATCATTATTGACATCTAAAATTTAAGCGTTACAAATGCAGAAATGGACTTTAAGGCCTTAAAAATAAATAACTGAAATGCAATCATTCATAAACAGTTTGTAAAACTGACACTGACATGAAAGGCCAAGGCATATGGTACAGAAAAAGATTCTTTTTTAAGAATGGATCCCTATTTTAAGTTTATTTATGTCTGAACTATTTTTCTCCAAATATGTAAAGCAAACATTCTACCAATAAAATAAATCTTAATATTGTGTAATAAAGCCTGTTAAATACAACCTAGCTAGTTTCAGAATGACTTTATATTGACAAAGAAGCTTGTAGTGAAACATGCAATGACTCAAAAGGAAAAGAAATACCAAACCACAGCTATCGACCTGAACTATTTCATCCTGGATGAGCAGTGGACTATCAATACTCTACAGACAGGCTCTACACATTTACTATCAGGAAGATTCAATAGGAAATCTTGTCAGAAATCAGTCAATTAAAGTAAACATAATTTTTCAAGCACTAGAAATAAATGTTAATATTTGTATCAAATCTGTTACCATGTAATTTGAAAAATGTCTTGGGGTCAAAGTCATTAGGATCCAGTCCATCCGTCTCTTCCCATACCTCTTTCAGTTGATCTTTGCTTCCCTGTAAACCAATGTTGGAAAATTGCTCAAAACAAAGTATATATATACGTATATATACAGATTCAAAAATCAAATCTGAATTTGAGAAACTTTACAGAATTCAGAATCAAGACTCAAGTGTTAATAACTTATGAAAAAAGTCTGCTGTTGGTACAAAGCAGTATCTAATTAAATACTTTTTCATAAAGTCACAATCCTTACTGGATGATTGACTTTGGGATGATTTTCATGCTTTTTCTTCATTTCTTCAAATTTTGATTCTTCTTCTTTCCTCTTTTCTTCATCCAGTGTTTTTAAATATTCTCTCCTTTCATGTTCCTTCATCATTTCATACCTTTTAAATTCTTCATGCCGAGTCTTATCATAGTGCTCCAAATCAGCTGTTGCCTAGAACGTAATCATTCACTTAAGCTACACACAGACAAGTATTTCAAAACATAAATACAAATAACGCAATTCTCAAATACAGCATGCTCTTTAAAGAGAGGAGACCAAAAACAAAACAAAACACTGGAATGGGACAGCAGAAATGTAATTCCACAGTTGTCTTTTGGTCATTACTACTACCAGGGATGTAGACACTGAAAGAAATCAAAAGTTGAAAGCTAGCTTCAACTTTAGGAATTTCCCTATAAACAAATAATACAAAAGTTGATTTTAGAAAGTAGAAGGAAGGGGCTGTTATCAATCCGTACTGTATGAAAAAAAATGAGAATGGTTGCTAACCACGTAACTGTAGTTGCCAAGGTACAAGATCTCGTTTGGTAACTGTATTCTTAGTTGAGAGAGGTACACAAACTCTTACCCAGGATCCCTGAAACCAGCAGCCTGACCTACTCTCAGCTGTTGTGGGCGTTTGGAAAGTGAACACATCAGTGGAACATAGCTTGCTTTCTCTCACTCTTGATCTCCCCTACTTTCAGATAAATTTTATTAAATATAAAATCTCTGAATCCTGATGTGTTTCAGAATTTTCTATTTTATTTATACTTATTTTACTTGAAAGACAGTGAGAGAAAGAAAGAGATTCCCCATTCATTCATTCACTCTTCAAACACCCAACAGCCAGGCCCGGGCCAGGACAAAGTGAGGAGCCAGGAGCCAGGAGCCAGGAACCCAGTCAGGGTCTCCTGTCTGCAGGAATCCAACCACTCGAGGCATCACCTGCTGCCTCCCAGGATGACAACAGCAGGAAGCTGGCATCTGAAGCAGAACTGGGACTTGAGCTCGGGCACTCTGACATGGGATGCAGGCATCCCAAGTGGCATCTTAATTGCTTACCAAATGTCTGCCTCAGAATTTTCTAGATTTTTAGAAATATGGCACATATGCCATTTATTGGAACATCCTTGTGGTGTCTGTAATAAAACAGATTAGTATTCTTTTAACAAAAAAAAATGTATAAATACACTAAGTGGTCTAATTAAAAACTACAAATAGCATCACTATAATTTTGGTTAAATCAGGTCAAGTTTGACTTAGAGGTTTGGGAATTGTTGATACGGAATTATAAACCTATTTGTCTTTATTAATTTCTATGCTAACAAAGACTAAGTTATCTCCCTTTAAAAACACTGGGAAGATCATACAAAAATTGTACTTCTACAAGTTTAGCCACCATATTGTAAAACCTCAAAAATAAAAGAAACACAATTTCATTTGGCAATATTCTCACCGCTTTGATTAACATGTCTAAATCTGTGGATTCAAATTTCTCAGGATTCAGATGATTTAGATGCTCAAATTGTTTTAAAAGAGCTTGGTGGTCCATGCCTGTACCTGAAATGAAATAAAAAAAAAACTGTAAATGATCAATTATGAGACACCAAAAATATTCATCAAAATGACACTGTTTCTAGTAAATTTTTCAGTTGATTATTTTGGGAGTTACAAGTATACATAGTCTACAAATACAGATGGCTTTCAACTCCTTTTCAATTATGATACCTGATTTTTTTTTTTTTTCATTTGTATAACTGTTTTGGCAAGTCTTTGCAAAACAATGCTAACTAGCAGTGCTTACTGAAGGCATTACTATCTCGTTCCTGATTTTAGTCAGAAGACATATTGGGTACTTTAAAACATGCATAGAAAAATTGAACTGAAAAGTAAATTTAGGAGCTGCCATGATGGCTAATCAACTGGCTAGTCCTCCACCTCCAAGCACAAGCATCTCATATGGACACCATTTCCTGTCCCGGTTGCTCTGCTTCCTATCCAGCTCCTTGCCTAAGGCTTGGCAAAGTAATGGAGGATGGCCTGTAAGCCTTAGGCCCCTGCACCCATGTGGGAGACCCAGCGGAAGCTCCTGGCTCCTGGTTCCTGGCTTTGAATTGACTCAGCTCTGGCCACTGCAGCCATTTGGGGAGTAAACCAACACACAGAAAATCTTTGTCTTCCAATAAATGGAAGATCTTTTTCTCTCTGGCTCTCCGGCTCTCTGTAAATTTGCCTTTCCAATAAAAATAAATAAATCCTTTTTTTAAAAAAGGTAAATTTATGTAAATGTGAAGCCATGCATAATTTTTTCCAATAAATTCTTCACAGTATTCTTATACTAGAATTACCCTATGAAATATGAAGCCACTGAGCAGGAGATAACTAATTGTATTACAGCAATATTTACTAATTAATTATTACCTTACCTTTTCAAAAATTAACAATATTAAATGTTATTAGATGCATTTTCTATACATATGAGGATGATCATATGGATGGCTTATAAGATCATTTTTTAAAAGATCTATGTATTTCAAAATATATACTTTACATTTTTTTTTTTTAAGATTTATTTATTTTTATTGCAAAGGCAGATATATAGAGAGGAGGAGAGACAGAAAAGAAGATCTTCTGCCCAATGATTCACTCCCCAAGTGGCTGCAACGGCTGGAGCTGAGCCAATCCCAAGCCAGGAGCCAGGAGTTTTTTCCAGGTCTCCCAAATGGGTAGAGGGTCCCAAGGCTTTGGGCCATCCTTGACTGCTTTCCCAGGCCACAAGCAGGGAGCTAGATGGGAAGTAGAGCTGCTGGGATTAGAACCGGCACCCATATGGGATCCTGGGGTGTTCAAGGAAAAGACTTTAACCATTAGGCTACTGCACTGGACTCTAAAGGATTTTTTTTTAAGATTTATTTTTATTTGAAAGATTTTACAGAGAGAGAAGGAGACCTAGAGAAGGTCTTCCATCTGCTGGTTCACTTCCCAATGGCTATATCAGCTAGAGCTGAGTCAATGTGAAGCCAAAAGCCAGAAGCTTCTGGGTCTACCATGTGCATGCAAGGACCAAAGGCCTTTGGCCATCCTCCACTGCTTTCCCAGGCCAAAAACAGAGAGCTGAATAGGAAGTGGAGCAGCCAGGACATGAACTGGCACCTATAAGGGATGCCGGCACCACAGGGCAGAGGACTAGCCTGATGAGCTACCACACCAGCCGCCAAAATATATACTTTAAAGCTATTTAATTTTCTCATAGAACACAGGATTTCAGAGCAATTGCTTTGGTACAGTGGGTTAAGCTGCTCCTTGTGACACCAGCCTCTCATAAATTTAGAGTATTGGTTTGAATGCTTACTGCTTCATTTACACTCTAGTTCCATATGAAAAAGCCTGGGAAGGCAGCAGAAGATGGCCCAGGTATTTGGGACACTGCCATACAACTGAGGGACCAGGATGGAGTTCCTGAATGCTGCCTTCAGCCTAGGCTCCCCCTGGTGGCCTGGTGGCCAATAGACAGAAAATTGACTGCTTTCTCTCTTCTCTTTCCCCTCTCCTCTTTTTCATAAAAAAAAAAACAAGATTCAAATATTTATTTCAATTTATCATCTGTCCTTTGACTTTGTGACTTATCAACTTGCTATATCAAAATTTTAAAGTTTTTTCCGGCTTCTTATTTGATAATCTATATCATTGCATTTCCTAATATTAAATCAATATTGCATTCCTGAAACTAACCAACTTACTATGACATAGAATTCTTTTTAAACGCAATAACTTGGCTTTGGCATCAATACATAACAGTAATGTGAATGCAGTCATTACTTTTCAATGCTCTGAAATAGTTTAAATAGTAATGTTAATGTGATCTTTTAATGATTTGATGAATTTCCTTATAGAACTCTGGTTCTCTCTGACCATGTTTCTATGTATGAAATTATCCCAACTAGCTTTTCGATCTCTGCTTTCCCTGGATTTCCTGACACGTTATTTTCCTATTATAACTTAGCTGCACACATCCCATACTGAAGCACCTGAATGTGAGTCTCTGCTTCCGATTCCAGCTTCCTGCTAACGTGAACCCTGAGTGGCAGCAGGTGACTGTCACCCAGAGCAGGACCGGGTCCTGAGCCCTTGGCTTTGACCTGGCCCAGCCCCCACTGCTGCAGGCATTTAGAGGGTAAACCAGGAGCTGAGGGATCTTCCTGTCTTTCCCCATCCACTGTCTCTCTCTGCCCTTCAAATAATATAAGCAACTAATTTCAAAAATGAAATGGCTTTTTTCACTACTTTTCATTCATGTCATTAAGACTAATAATTTTATTTTAAATATTATAAAAATGTTACCTACTCCAAAATTAATTCAATTTTACAAACTAAGAACCATTAAATAATTACTAATATAAATTTCTGACAAGAGGCCCTGATGCTGTAGCCTAGAGGCCAAAGTTACCGCCTTGGATGTGCTGGGATCTCATATGGGAGCTAATTCTAATCCAAGCTGCTCCACCTGCCATCCAGCTCCTGCTTGTGGCCTGAGAAAGTCGTCAAGGACAACCCAAAGCCTTGGGACACTGTTCCCACCTGGGAGACCTGGAAGAAGCTCCTAGCTTCAGATTGGCTCAGCTCTGGCTGTTGTGGCTACTTGGGGAATAAACCAGCGTATAGATCTTTCTCTCTGTATCTCCTTCTCTCTGTAAATATGCCTTTCCAATAAAAATAAATCTTTAAAAAAAATATATTCTGACAAGAGCATGTCATGTGCAAATGCTAACTGAATTTGGGCCCAGTACAACAGCCTTGTAGCTAAATTCTTGCCTTACATGTGCTGGGATCCCTAATGGGCACCAGTTCGTGTCCTGGCAGCTCCACATCCCATCCAGCTCCCTGCTTGGGGCCTGGGAAAGCAGTTGAGGATGATCTAAAGCCTTGGGACCCTGCACCTGCATGGGAGACCTGAAAGAAGCTCCTGGCTCCTGGCTTCAGATTGGCTCAGCTCCGGCCATTGCAGCCACTTGGAGAGTGAATCAGTGGATGGAAGATCTTTCTCTCTGTCTCTTTCTCACTGTAAATTTGACTTTCCAATGAAAATAAATCTTAAAAAATGTTAACTGAGTTCAGCAAACAACTACTGACATTTTCTTACCTTTTTTTAGCACTCACCTTGAGCGGAATCCATTTTAGCTCTGATCAGCATCCGTAACCTTCCCACTTCTTGTCTTTTCAGTTCATCCAGCTTTGTCCTTACATGGTGACTTACTAAATCCAGTTCTTTGCTTAATCTCCCACTCTATTCATTAAAAAAGTTAATTTTATCAGTAACATTCCATTTTTAGATGAAATTCAACACATTACAGATAAGGTTATAACAAAAAGTATACCAAATAAAATACTTTGGAGTAATTTAGGTTAATTTGTTATTATGTAAAAAGACAGCAAGAGCATTTCTGGGGGACAGCATTCTAACACAATGTGTGCTTGAGATACCAGATTCTGACATAAGAATGTCATTTTTAGTGCAGGCTGTTCCATTTCCAATCCGAGTCCATGCTAACAAGCCCGGGAAGGCAGCAGAAGATGGTCCAATAGTTGGGCCCCTGCAACTCATAGCGAGGAACCCAGCTGGAGTTTCAGGCCCCTGGTTTTGCCTTGGTTGAGCCTTGGCAGCTGTGGCCAAGATCCTGAACTAACAGATGGATGATATTATATAATCTCTCCCAGCCTCTGACACTGTTTTCAAATACAAAAAATAAATCTTTTAAAAAGTGTATCTCTTTTCTTTTATACTTGTTTATATGTGCTCTTTTTGGAGCTGCTATCATGGTGTAGCACATTAAGCTTCTTCCTGCGATGCAGATATCCCACACAGGCACCAGCTCAAGCCCTGGCTGGAATACCAATACACCTGGGAGAACAGTTGGAGATGGCCCGAGTGCTCGGGTCCTGAACCCTCCTGGGAGATTTACAAGAAACTCCTTGTCCCTGGCTTTTGCCTGCCACATTTGACTGACTCAGCCATTTAGGGAGAGTATCAGTGGATGGAAGATCTCTCCTTCTGTCTATATAACTTTGATTTCAAATAAATAAAAATTTTAAAATTCTCTTAAAATTTTTATTACAAATTCCAATTTACAGAGGGGATATGCAGAGAAAGATATTCTGTCTGCTGGTTCACTTCCTAAGCGGCCACAATGGCTGGAGTTGAGCAGGTCTCCCATGCAGGTGCAGGGTCCCAAGGCTTTGGATTGTCCTCTATTGCTTTCCCAGGCTACAAGTAGGGAGCTGGATGGGAAGTGGAGCTGCCAGGATTAGAATCAGTTCCATATGAGATCCTGATGCATGCAAGGTGAAAATTTAGCCACTAGGCTCTTGTGCCAGACCCATAAATATATATTTAGAAACAATGATAAAAACATAATATACAATCCCTCTACAGAGCTATATTATTCAGTCACGAAAAATAATGGAATGCTGACACACGTACAGCATGAAAATGTTACACTGAGGCAAAGACTTCAGACAGAAGAGATATGTGGTATATTTTTACTTTTACAGGAAATGTCTAGAACAAGCAAATCCCCTTTCTCGGTTACACCTTAAATGTTGGCATAATCTCTACCAGGGAGGTTGACTTTCCTCCCTCACCCACTGCTCCATCGTGAGCCCTGTGTCTGTCCTCTATATCCGTCTAATACAGTTTACACTCACCACATAGCCATCCTAATCATGTCTTTCTGGGCATGACTTTCTCGCGCACACTCCTTAATGACTGGAATGAGTCTCATCTTACATCCCAAGGACTCAGCTCAGTGTTTATCTGGCTCAGATACTGTTAATTACTTAATTACAGTTACCTTTATTTCTTCTATATCTGCTTTTTGGAGCTTTTCTCTAAAATGGTTATCTGTTTCCAGCACATCAATCACTTGCTTGAGATATTCATCATAATAAAGTCCAGTGTCCTTCAAAGCAAGAAGCAAACAATGACATTTCTGAAAGTTGTGTGTATGCGGATCTAAAGATTCCAATCTGAAAAACATTTTCTACCAAAATGGCACTGAGACATTGAGACATTTCTACTTTGATGATTTCAATCATTATAACGAAAAATGTATATTTTTCAAAGAGTTTTATATACAAAACAAGTATCTTGTTTTATTTTTACATAAAGGTAGGTTTTCTTTTTTTTTTTTTTTTTAAGATTTATTTTTATTATTTTTTCATTGGAAAGGCGGATATACAGAGAGAGGAGAGAGAGAGAGAGGAAGATCTTCCGTCCGATGATTCACTCCCCAAGTGAGCGCAACGGGCCGATACTATGCCGATCCGAAGCCAGGAGCCTCTTCCGGGTCTCCCGCACGGGTGCAGGTTCCCAAAGCTTTGGGCCGTCCTCCACTGCTTTCCCAGGCCACAAGCAGGGAGCTGGAAGGGAAGCGGGGCTGCCGGGATTAGAACCGGCGCCCATATGGGATCCCGGGGTTGCAAGGCGAGGACTTAACCACTTGCGCCACTGCGCCGGGCCCGGTAGGTTTTCTATATAGTTTACACCTTGAGGATTTAAGTCATATTGTTAACTGATTTTTTCCCTGGTGTCCATCTGTCTTCTCTGAATGAGACCCACTGCTCTCTGAGCTGATCAGCTCTGCACATACTTTAGAAAAAATACTGTATTAATTCTTCTACATGCTAACAACTGTAAATAATATGAAACAGCATATGTTTGTCTAATACTTTTCTCAGTGCTATTTAAGGAATGTTTTCTAAATGTCCAATTTTGTAATAAATAATAGCACTAGTTCAGTGATAAATGTCCCATTCTACTTTACTTAGTTATAATTTCATTTTGCTTCATCTCATTTAGTTGCAATCACGATTCTCTCCACTTAGATGCATTTCCTCCCATCTTACTTACTGGTGGTTCAATCTTGGCGCTTTCCACAGGTTGACTATTTTGCACTTTTGTCTTGTCTATGTCTATAGGCACAGCTTCAAAGGCAGTAAGCAGACATGTAACCATGAGAACACAGTGTTGGGGTACAATGGTCCTCCACCTCATCTGAAATAAAGGGGAAGTGCATAACATACTGTAAATATATACATGCATTCCCCATGTCACATTAATATATTCAATTTCAAGAGGCTCAATCCAACAAAAAAAAAATTTTACAAAAAGGGTAAAAATATATAACATACCAAAGACAATGTTTAAAGGAGAAATTTTTTAGCCAAAATTAAATCTGCTCCTGTGGTATGAGACTACATTTAGATAATAACAAAAGTGTCAAATAAAGAGAATAAGAAACCCCAAACTGTACCCAACAAGGCTTCAAAAATTCATGGAAAATGGGATCAAACGGTGTTCATTTTCCAAACCAGATTTGTAGCATATTTATTGAGATCCATTTTGCATGTCATAAAATTCACACGTTAGAGCACGGCTCATTAAGCTGCATCTTGTGATGCCAGGCCCTATGTGGGAGTGCTAGTTCAAGTCTCAGATGCTCTCCTTCCCACTCAGTTTCCTGTCAACACACCTAGGACAGCACTTGTTGATCACCCAAGTATTTGAGACACCACCACAGATGCAGGAGATCAGAACGGAATTCAAGATTCTGGCTTTTGTCTGGCATCTCAGATCTGGCTCTTGTGACCATCTGTGAGATGAACCATGAGATGGAAGACCTGCCTCCCAACTCCTCACCTTCTCCCTCAACTTTTCCCTCTCCTCCTTCTCCCTCTGCTGTTATGAATTTCAAATAGATTTTTTTTTTTAAATTCACCCACTTGGGCTCTACATGGTAGCCTATTTGCTAAATCTCTGCCTTGTATGTCCTGGGACCCCAAGTGAGTGCTGATTCATATCCCAGGTGCTCCACTTTCCATCCAGCTCCCTACCTGTAGCCTGGGGAAGCAGTTGAGAATGGTCCAGAGCCTCAGGACCCAGTACCCATTTGGGAGACCCATAAGAAGCTCTTGGCTCCTGACTTCCAATTGGCTCAGCTCTGGCTGTTGCAGTTATTTGGGGAGTGAATCAATGCACAGAAGATCTTCCTCTCTATAAATCTGACTTTCCAGTTAAATAAACAAATACATACATACATAAATAAATAAATCTTTTTAAAAAAATGATGCAACTGAAAATTTTGCTCTCAGACTTCTCAGACTACCTGCGAATTTGTCAGAAATGAACTTCCTCAGGCTATACCCAAGAGCTCTGGGAAGAGGCTCAGGGATTTGTTTTGGTTAAACTTTCCAGGTGGTTTCTACGTGAACTCAACCCTGACCTCCACTATTCTCCATGACTCCAACATTGTGAGTAAATGTCTTTCATGATGAAATGTTCTAAGACATTGGCTCAATTATGCTAACTTTGGGAGTTCGTGATGGAATTCTATGCATCATGAAATATCTGATAGGATAATTTATGTCTCTATAAATTATCATCCCACTATAAATAACCTCGTCTTCCCCCGCAGCTGTTTTTTCCTGAGAAGTAAGGTTTATTTCTCATTCATGTGTCATGCCCACCATACACACAGGTGTGTTTTATTTTTGCCTTGAAATATAATGAATGTCTTTTTTAAAAAGATGTATTTATTTTTATTTGAAAGGCAAATTTATAGGGAGAAGGAGAGACAGAGAGGAAAAGACCTTCCATCTGATGCTTTATTCCCCTAAACTGCTGCAATGGCCAGGCCTAAGCCAATGAGAAGCTAGAAGCTTGTTTTGGGTCTCCCACGTGGGTGCAGGGTCCCAGGTACTTGAACCTGCTTGGCTTTCCCAGGCCACTAACAGAGAGCTGGATGAGAAGTGGCACAACCACTTTTTAAAATTGCATAACTTGATGTTTTTAATATGTTCTCAAGGCTATATAACCATTACTATTTAATTTTAGAACATTTTAACCACCCCAAAGAGAAATACCCTACCCATCTGCAGTTACTTCCCTTTCTCTCCCTGCTCCCCACCTTCCTCCCTTACATTGCATCTGTAAATTTTACCTACTTAGGACATTTCATACAAATAGGACCACACAATGTGTGGGCTCTTGTATATAGCTCTTTCCACTTAGCACTTTGTCTTTGTGATTCAATCATTTATAACTTGCACCAGGACTTCATTCCTCTTCACCACTTTTAGACATTCCATTGTCGGGATACACCACGTGTTTTATCCATTCATCAGTTGACAGAGTGGTGCTCTTTCTACTTGGGTCCATTTTGAATAATGCTGCAGTGAGCATTTGTGTTAAAACTATTGTATTAGGGCCCGACACAATAGCATAGCAGCTAAAGTCCTTATCTTGAATGTGCTGGGATCCCACATGGACGCCAGTTCTAATCCCGGCAGCCCTGCTTCCCACCCAGCTCCCTGCTTGTGGCCTGGAAAAGCAGTCAAGGACAGCCCAAAGCCTGCACTAGCATGAGAGACCTGGAAGAAGCTCTGGGCTCCTGGCTTTGAATTGGCTCAGCTCAAGTCGTTGCAACCACTTGGGGAATGAACTATTGGATGTTAGATCTACCTCTGTCTCTCCTCCTCTCTGTAAATCTGCCTTTCCAATAAAAAAATTAATAAATCTTTAAAATAAACTATTATGTTAGTATGATTTCAGTTCTTTGGGCTATATACCTAGGAATAGAAGTGTCGAGTCTATTTGGCAGCTCTGTTTAACATTTTGAGGAGCTGCCAAGCTGTTTTCCAAGGCAACTGCACCACTTTACTTTCCCATCAACAATAAATATGGGTCTGATTTCTTTGCTTTCCTAATGTCTTACTGACATTTCTGCAGCTCTTTTACTCCTCTAACAAGTCTATCATGCATTAGAAAGCAAGCCAAGAGAGGAATGTGTTTGTGGTCATGAATGTGTACGTGTGCAATCATGCATGTGTGTGGATGTGCCCCCTGGCACCATCTCAAAGCGGCAAAGTCACAAAATGACTACAAAACCTACTCTAAAATACCTTTAAAGAAAGATTCAGGGTAGTCGCCCCAACTAGGCTGCAGTTCCCACTGGTTTGCGTGAGGGCCGAGTATGAAGTGGGCAGGATCAGGCTGGACTAAAACACCATCGTGTGGAAGACAGGGCTGGAAACAGAACTGACCCAGTAATTGAAACAACCAACATGTGCATAAGCTGATTGGGGCAACAGACTGTGCCAGACCCTGTACTGGCAAATTCACACAAGAATCAGGTCTAGGATCATTTCAGATGAAGTTTTTTTGCAGATCCCTCCAACTGAACTGCTGATTTCAGAAGCCCAACCATGAAGGACTATGTCAGCCAGTGGATTCTGAAGAGATTTCATCACGATTAGAACGGTGAGATTGACAGCAACTCAGAACTTTTGAACTATCAAAACTGCTTGAGCAGGACCCTTGGAGTGTACCTCACATTGGGGACGGGATGGGAAGGAGGCTGAGCGGGGCTTCTCCCTGTGTTTCTCCCCTGACCCCAGATACAAGGAAAAAAGAAAGATGAAACTAGTGAGAAAACAATGATATTACCCACTTTCCTGTAGCTTTTCACCTGTACCCTAAGTAAGATTATCAAAAGAATAAATAAATAAAGTGAAAAAGAAAAGATTCATCTTTTTTGAAAATCTGAGTTAGAGAGAATGGTAGCAATCCAAGTTTAGGAACAAGGAACTTCCTCTGGGTCTCCCACGTGGATGCAGGGATGGAAGGACTTGAACCATCCCTTGCTGCTTTCCCAGGCAGGATTGCAAGTGGAGCTGCCAGGACATAAACCAACACCTAAATGGGATGCCAGCATCATACGTGGTGGCTCAGTCTACTACGCTATAGTGCCAGTCCCTCTAAAACATGTTCTGACTTTATGGTTCACACACATCTAACTAAATTCCAAGCTTATTATGAATAACAATATAAACCATCTATAGAGTATTTGCTATGTAACAAGGAGTATGCTAAACATTTTTATATTAATTCAGTTAAATCTAAACAGCAAACTTCTAAACTAAATGCTCTCTTCAATTTCAAGTACAGAGAACTCATACCTTTGCTTTAAGAAGCTGTATTTACTAAGAAATAAATCATGAGATATCTAAGAACTCTAATGAGAAAATTAGAACATGTTATTGTGAGACACCTTACAAGACACCGACAGTTGGAAGAACATAGTGGGTTCAAAAATGATAAGTCATTGTTGTGAAGATATCATTTCTAAAACTGCATCTAAATTCCAACGGGATTCCTAAGGAACTCAAGGATACGGAAGGGAAGAGCCCAAGAACAGTTAAAACATTCTTGATACCAAATAGCAAGGCTTATTTTAAAGCCATAGTCCTTGAGATGGTGTGGTAGCAGTACAGGGGTAGACAGACCAATGGAGCATAATCTGAGTTTAGAAATAGATGCACATGCTTATAGATAGGCCCTGTTCGTGTCATAGTAGCTCTCCTGAGCGGTGCTACTTGACCAAGGTCCATCTGAAACAGTGAAATGTGACCTCTCCCTCATATGCCAAGAAAGGTCAACTTTAGAGGAATATCAGTTGTATAAACAGGAAATAAGACTTCTAGGACACAAAGAGACTTGAGGCTTCTTAGGCTAAACCCCCAAACTGTAACTATGCAGAAAAAGACTTATCAACTACATTTAGATTCAGATCTTCTGTTCAGCCATAGAGAAATATTTGTAATGTATATAAAGAACAAATAGATATGGAGCAAGTAGAACTCCCTTATGCTATTGTGGTCTACTTCTAACTGGAACAGGTAGCATATTTATGAGTCGTGTGTCTATGTAAACAATAGAATATATTCTTTTGTGTCTGGCCTGTCTTGCATTTAAGATTTGTCCGTTGTTGTGATTGGCAGTGGTTCAGTCAATTTCATTGCTGTATAGTACTCCATTATGCAAAGAGACCACAATCTATTTATCCCTTCTGTTTGTTAAAAGATGTTCAGATTGTTTCCATTTTGGAAGTATTATGAACATTGCTACTCTGACTATGTATCCATTCCTCTGGGTTCCTATGGCAGTTTTAGGCCTAGTTTATCACTCAGCAGAATAAACACAGGGTACCTGTATTT